GCATCGAAAAAACGTAAATATAGTGAGGTGAAACGGCAAACAAGGGGGAAATTTGGGGTGTGGCTTTTGCTTTCCTGCGCACCCACTTTGGGAACCACTGATCTAACCACCAGTCCATATATGAGAAGCTGAACCCAGATAATTTTTAGCCTGATAAATGACTTGAACAACTGATTATAAAAAAAAATGTCCTTAATAATTTTATGATGATCTACTAATGAATCAGTGGCCTTGTCATTTCAGCATTAGTCCAAATTTAGGCCTCAAAGAAATCACTTTAATAAAACTTTATCCCCTAATTATGTTACTCTCTTATGAGTATTTAAATCAAATATGGCCACCATGTGAATTAAATAAATAAACAGCCAGAAATTACATTTTAATCATTTAACACCCTGCCTGAAACGTCCACTCACTAGCAAAATATATCTTACTTTAAAGACTTTGCTGGGAAAATTTCAGTGTGTTGCAGAGTAAACAGAAATGTGCGCGTGGTAAATAACCTGAGCCACTGGGACCAGCTGAGTGAAGACCATCCAGGCTCCTCAGTGTGCATGTGTTTATCTGTTGGTTTATGTGTCAGTTACAGGCAGGACCCCTGCTGAGAGCAAAGATGTTGTAAACGAGGCACCACAGATAATGTATTGCAGCGGGTGTCATTGAATGTGTCCCTTTGAGAATACACATAAAACACACAAACATACAAGTCAGGACACAGAGGCAGGTGTGAGGCCTGAAAAACTAATAAAACACAGCAGTGAACATATGTGAACATGGTATATATACACACACACATGCACTACAGTACATGCTGCCTTTACACACACAGTGGGTAGGGGAGATATATAATCCTGCACACACACACACACACACACACACACTTTTTCAAACACGGGCTGTACACAGGCAATATTTGTCTGATAAGAAAGGTCACTTTTGTCATTTGAAAGCACACAAACCACTACAGGCTCCGCTTTTAAAGCCTCACTAGAAGGGGAAAGGAGGGCAGCCGAGTCTCTGGACACCTCACTCAGCCAGTCATAATTACAGAACAAATCACACTGCTCTTTTCCCTCCATGTCATTTGAAATAGTGGATTAAGAGCACAAAAAAGCAGATTTTTGAGGCTTGGCCATCTGTGTTTTCTGCAAGAGCTCGTGTGTGTGTGGGTGTGGGTGTGGGTGTGTGGGTGTGTGGGTGTGGGTGTGTGTGTGCTTCCTTATCTCATCTGAACCATCCACCTCTCTCACACAGCTCCCAGTCGCTTTTTTACTCTCCAAGCCGGAGAGGTCGGCTCAGGGCCCTGAAACTGGGTCATCTGGGTGATGATTTAAAAAAGAAAAGCCTGGACACTGGCTGCAAAGCTGCCTGGACCACGCGCAGGTAGGGGAGAGAGGGATGGCGCAATTGATGGGATGGCGCCGAGGAGAGTGACGAGTGGAAAGGTCAGGACAGAATAGCGCAGCCCCGTTGCTGGGGGAGATATTTTTGGACAGCACGCTGGGGTCGCCGCGCCAGACTGTCAGCCTCCGCTCTCGTCTGGTTGCAGGGGTTGCGGCCAAGGCGGAGGCTGGAGAGCCTCAAGGTCACGCCCTGCACTTCTTCCACTGGCAGAGAGAGAGGAAGGAGAGAGGGATGGCGGGGTGGATAGGTCACAAGAACCTGGACACCGTGGTGCTGTTACAGCTCTAAATAAAACTGACTTAGTTCTTACGCGTGGGCATGTGCTCTCACACACACATGCTCTTCTGTGCAGGGTCAAGATAGAACAAGAAAGGGCTGCTGGGTACACACTCTCATTTTGGAGGCGAGTGACAGTTCAGGAGTGTCACCTGTCCACTGGGACCTCTGGTGTGAAATGTGATATCAGTCTGAGGCTGACCCAGATAGCCCTAGAGCTGCTCAAGTAACCAATATCAGGTGGACAGGAAGTTTTTAAACCCATTACAGATCGACAGCACTTAAATTCAATCTTTCTAATTAGTTCCGCTCGATTTTGCCTCTTCGTTTGTTTCACAGTTCTTACTCCTATTGATACTATCTCAGGTAATTAATTGTTTAAAAAAATAAATAGCACTGAAGATTATTAATGTTGCCCCATCTGAGAGCTGCTTGCTGTATCGTATCAGAACATTTGCTAATGGGCTGCAAAGAAAGTATATAATTTGGGGGGAAAATGAATAATAATTCTTTAAGTCTATAAGCTATTAAAGACTCTCTGCAGTAATTACCTTAAACTTGGCTCAGTCTGTGTTGCATTTTTCCTCATTACCTTTCATGCAGCAACAACACAGTGTGCCTCATGTGGCAACGTTCTCTTAAATTTCTCTAAAGAGAAAAAATCAGAGGTGTTACAGGAAAATAGAAAAAACTAAAAATAGAAAAAACTAAAGCAAAATAAACACAGTGGTGATTTTACACATTTTACAAAAACAAACAAAAAATGTGTAAAAGGAAATAGGGTGACATACAGAGCTTTACTAGGTATAAATGTAAAATATAGCAAACCAAATAAGAATAATTCTAAATAAAGTAATAATAGAAATTGTAAAACCAGGTGGGATGGAAGTATTTATCAGTGGTGTTTGATGTACAGTGTGTACAAGTGTCATTGTAAGTCCCATTTTGTGTAGTTTACATTGTGTCAGGTGAACTCTGTGTAGAGGTTTGTATTGAAAAAGCTGCAGTTTGAGTTATGGGTCACTGAGAAGATGTTAGTGTAGATGTGCATCCAGGAGTTGATATCAAAGGAGGCAGGTAAATCTTTTTCCCAGTCTTGGACTGGTTGTGTTACTTAGGAGTAAGTGTGTAACTATAATCAGGAAATGTAGTATTTAAAGTAAATGTAGAAATAATTTAACTAATTGATAAATTAAAAATTGATAAAATGGAAACTCAGCATGTCCTCATATATGTGAAGCTGTAACCATAAAATGTTTTTGCATGAAAAATGACTTCATCAATTATCAACATAGTTTCAAATTAATTTTCTAATCTAAATATTTGTGGACTATGAAGATGAGTGTTTTTCTTTTGGCTTGGTGAAACTGCTCTCAACCACTCGTTAAGTTTTCTCTTACCTAGGAAAAGGACAGTGAGCAGAGTCAGTGGGTACTAACAAATTAATAACATTTATCATTTTTATAATATTCAATATTTTATATTACATGTTTTTGTTTTTTTTACCTTAGCAAATGAGTAAAAGCAGCATAAAATATCACTGATATTTTATGCTGCTTTTAAAATATCACTGATATTTTATGCTGCTTTTACTCATTTGCTAAAATTTGCTGCTGCGATAAGCAGAGTTGCCAAACAAAATGTCGTTATCTATAGTGTGCATATGAGTGAAAATAAGAGAAAATTTGTTTGTATATTCCTTCCTGCATGAGGCCCATTGATTATTGATAAAATCAATTAATATTTTAATGACTCTGGTGTGAACAGTTTAGATAATTACATATAAGCATAACATCTCTGGTTTAGTTTGAGCCAGGGACCTTTGTTGCACGTCAAACCTCTCCTTCTCTGACCTAATTTCCTGTCTGAGCTGCCCATCACAGACAAAAAGTGTTGTTTTCATGTCTGGCTTTTTTTTTTTATTATTATTATTTTTTTTAATACATTCTCACTTCTCTGTCTCTCTGTAATTTTCTTGCCCAGAATTGAGGCTTATTTGTGTGTTCAGAGGGTAAACAAAGAGCAAGAAATTGGTCTCTGGCAGGGTTTTTGTAGCTTGAGACAAGTTAGATTTAAAGCTTTCTGAGACATTTAATTTTAATTTAATTTAATTTAATTTTAAATTGAAGACCAACCTAAAAAAAAGTAAACTGACACCAACTACTTGGGGTTAAGAACCATTTTGCCCAAATATTTATTAGTTTAGTTTATTTACTTTATTAATCCCCCTGAGGGGAAATTCAATGTTTTCACTCTTGCTTGTCAATTAACATGCACAAAGTGGAGAGATGTCAGGGTGAGGGGGCTGCCCTTGGTGAGGCGCCCCGAGCGGTTGGAGGGGTTCGGTGCCTTGCTCAGGGGCACCTCGGCAGTGCCCAAGAGGTGAACTGGTACCTCTACAGCCACCAGTCCACACTCCATATTTTTGTCCGGACGGGGACTTGAGTAGGCGACCCTCCAGTTCCCAACCCAAGTCCCTATGGACTGAGCTACTGCCGCTCCACATTATTGTAACATAAAACATGACTTTTTTTGCCTTGTGGCGAAGACGAGGGTAGGACAGACCTGAGAAATACCTGCAGTTTGTTGCTGAGTTTTCTTGCTGATTTTGTGTTTCTCACTCTGCTTCAGTTTTTATCAAGTTTGAAAAACTTTGCCGAATATATAAGGTAAGATAAGATAAACTTTATTGTCCTGCAAGGGAAATTCATCTTGGGCAGTATAGTGCAAACAGCTGCAATATTCACATACATACATACAGTCAACATCAACATAGACAAGTTGCCAACATAGTGCGCTGAGTCTTGTATGTGTTGTTTTGTACAGGCTTTAGCTATGCTGTGAAATCTTGGTTTAATAGCCAGTTTTTGTTGAATTTTCACTTCCTGTCACCCAGGGTACGGCGACAGCTAGCTTACAGACAGCAAATCCTCTGCTCTGAGCATCTCGACCGGAAACAAAGAATAAGTGTTGTTGGTTCTGCTGTGGTGACATTAATGCAAGAGGCATTTGAGAAATTATTAAATAGAGAAAAAAAAAGAATAGAAATATACATTATCTAGAAATAGACACATTTAAATTAAAAAAAAGAAATGGATTAAAATAAGATAAATTGCTAATTAATAATAATAAATAATTTTGCAATGCAGTGTCTGATTTTTTTTTTTTTTTAAATCCCTTTTCCCACATCTTAGAATTTTTAAGACATTTAAAAGATTAAGGATATTTTAATACCAATTAAGGTCTTATTTTTGGATCAGTGAATCCTGCTGTAGTGTAAAAAAAAAAAAAAGATATTGGGAACCATTGATTTCAACCTTAAGACAACATATGACACATACAGAACATGCTTTTGTTTAAACATTTTATTGCTATGTAAAATTAAAAATCTCATACCTCCAATGAAAAAAGTACTACTCTTAAATAACACAAATAAAATCAGGCAAAATAAAAATATTTGGCATTGACATGATGTTCTGTGTATGGGGAGACTTAAATTTTAGCAGATTTAGCACAGCATTGCCGCCACACGTGTTAGTCAGGACTGATGTTATAAAATGCACACTGTACTGTATCGTACACTCTGTTGACACACTACCATCTTTAAAGGTCTAGTATCATCTCATGGGGTTGTACACAGAGCCAAGTAAACTACTAAACATATAACACTGCATTTCTCCCTACCGACATTTAATACTGTATTAAACTGAGGTCCTACAGTTTCGCGACATTGTAACCTTAAATTAAACCCAACTGAACACATGAAGTAGATGTGCTTATTATTGGCACATCCATGATCTCCCTGGCACTTGTACATACAGTGCGGTGGGATAAAAAAGGCTGCAGCTGCTCATTCGGCTGTTACAGAACATTTGGGCTGATGAGCCGAGTCATTCAACGTGCCGCACAATCTGTAAGCTGATGCAACACATCCTTATAATCTTTAACACATCAAGACGACAAATCTAAAAGTGAAGTGTCTCCCTCTGAGTGCAGCCGACACAAAGACACAATAATTAATGACAACACAAAACTTCAAGTATATTCCAAAACGCAGCTCCTCTGTCTAACCACTACATCTGGGTGAGGGACTAAAATCTAGGCATGCAAACACTACGGTAATGTGCACCCGCTTTCTCTTCCTGTGACAAACTGCAAAGTGCATATTAGGAACCGGGTGCTCTCTGAGACTTAAGTTTGGCTCGTTGTGGCGTCAAAGTCAGCTCGTTCTCTAAGAGGCAAAGAGGCTTGGCTTTACTACAATGACATTCTAAACATTGTGTTGCTTAATAGTGCTGCACTTAATATCACACAGGTAAAACATGAAGCATTAGCATCCAAAAGTTAAACGTCTTGAGTTCCTGGGGCTCCACCTCGCTACTGTAAAAACATAAAGTGACCGTTGAAACATTTATAAACATAAAGCCTCTGATATAAGTTATGAAATAAATAAAATTCAGACATAAAATAACTGATTACAGCCAGCAAAAATAAGCTTTTTGTCGTTGTTGTTTTGTTTTTTTACATCCACTTTCTCAAACAAGGGACAGCTTTGTTGATCATTCCATATCTGCATTCTGCATCAGCATTCACTGCATTCATGGAATACCTTACAAAATAAGTAAGTACATAAATAAATAATCCTTGCATTGTTTAGTATTTGTTATTCTTTCCTTTTACAGTACCATGACTTGTAACTGTACAGTGAGTAGGTATAATACAGCAATTACAATGAGAGAAGAGGGGTGAACCCATTGTCTGATGTTACGAGGGGTAAAGGACAGGGTGGAGGGTACCAGTGGTCTGCTGGTTCTAGGCAGGTCCAAACTAATCTAAACTGAACAAGGCCCTTTAGCAGTCCCAAATCATCTGGCCTTTCTTTGTTGGTCTTCCACAGGGGGATTTGGCCAGGGTTGAGGCTTTAGTCGGTTTCCAGAGTTGCCTCGAATTCAGATCTGTTCCGAAGTTGCTGAGATCGGAGTTTGGCTGGGTGAGAGTCAGGGGAAGGGAGGTTGAGGTCAAAAGGCGAGGTGTCAGAATCCAGGGTTGCCACGGTGACCTCAGAAGTGGCCCATCCTGGCAGCGAAAAGGCTGCGCGAGCGCGGCACTGCCGAGGAGATGCGGCCAAAGCTGGACGAAGGCCACTTCATGATGAACTGGGAGGTCACTGGCAGCAGATACCTGGACAGACGGACAAGAACGAGGGACGGAGGGATTAGGGGGAAAGGATGAACATAATGAGAGGATTAGATATGCAAAGGTCACAATTTAGAGGTCAGGGCGCATTAGTGTTCGGCACTGAGACCACACATGGCACGCTTTTCATATATTGATTCTACCCATTTTATGGCTGTCTCCATTTGAACATTTCATCTTTAATAATAGCCTGGTGATTTCAAGGTATTATGGCATCACCCTCCCCTTGAAAACAAAAGAAATGAGGCTTAAACAATGAGATCCATCTGATTTGGGGTACTTTGTGGAGAGTTTATTATCAATTCATCAATTGTTATGTCTATATAATGCCAGAAAACAGTTAAAGTGTCGGTTATAATTCCCTACAGACCAAAATTGACATCTTAAAACGTCTTGTTTTGTCTGACCAACAGTCCAAAACCCAAAGTTTATTGTTGTGTTTGACAAAGAAAAGCATCAAATCCTCATATTTGAGAAGCTGAATTGATTATTCAATTGAAGATATTGGACGATTCCTTCAATTGAGTAATTGATTAATCATTACAGCTGTAATTTCATGTAATGTAACAAATTTAAACCCCATGTACATGTACTATCAGTTACAGTCCAGCGTAATTAGGTTATATGCAGCATTAATGTATGTAAATAAATTATGGACCTTCTGCTGACAGAAGCAGATCTTTTTTTTTTCTTTCAGGACAACTGTATTTTTCAACTTTGACCCTCTTTAAAATTTGGTATCATGAACAGAAAATCCTCACCTATCATTCCGAGGCATAGGCGTCAGTACCTTTCTAAGACTTTTCTATGACACCTTCCACCGAGACAGAGCAGTGAGGCAGCTCCTGCTAACAGCGTTCCAGTACCTGAGAATGAGACCAGCGTCAGGTTGAGATAAGAGTCAGGAGGGGCCGAACCCTGCTCCCATCTTCCTTAGCTACTGGAAATGAGTCAGATATGGTTGTCAGAGCAATGTCAGATGAGATGATCAAATCCTGGACAAGGTTAACTGAAGGTTATGCAAATGTTGGGGTACTGTTCGGAAAGACATGAGACAGGGGGAAGTCTGAATTCTTCCAGACTGTGTAGTTGGAAGAATGACTCACATTTATGGGCTTTCGCTGAACACTTGTCATATCATGATCTTATACATTATGTGACCTTAATGCCACATCTGCAGCAATGATCTTGAGCTAATAAAAAATACATCTAATACTCGTTTAGTTAAACGAGTACAATGGACAAAAGAAATATTCCCTGTGGAAGTGTTTAAGATGTGACAATCTAATCAAAAGAGAGCCACTGGGGCCGAGGATTACAGATTGAAGAAATAATATCTTCTTTTAAGCTGGTGCAGAGATAGCATACTTTTTCTCTGACAGCTCTCTCTCCTTGTGAAATAGCTCTTGGACAAATTAGCCGAGCAGTTTCTTCTAAAGTCGACCGGAAAAAGCACATGTCGCTGAGGGCGTCTGCTTCAACACAGCCCCAGACTCAGGAGAGTAAGAAGGGATTCATATTAACTTCATTTAGTCCAACGGGAGTGTCCTTGAAGCAGCTTCAAGTGGGCCGAAGGTATCCCTCCAGCACATCTTCGACTCTGACTGGACTTGGTGAACAAGAGCTCAGTCCGGCACTTCTTCTTAAACTCCTTTCACTGAAACCCAAGAGAACAGGAGGGCAGGATATACTGTACTTTAAGCTTTTCACATTTGCTTCTAAGTGCAGTCTCCGAGGTGACATTAGTGATTCCATACCATGATTTTGTGTCACCCTTGGATTCATTTCTTATGTTTCTCCTCCCTCTGCTTGGCACCTTATTCCATCACCTTCTTTTATTCTATTCATCCATTGGGATTCAGTTCATGGATTTGTGGTGTGATTTTATTTTTTTTTTCACTTTCTCTCCTCCATTTCCATAAGGCTTCCACTGAAAACCCCAAGCCCAGGCATGGAAATGGCAGTCAGGGGAAAAAAAAAAGGAGAGAAAAAAGATAATCAAATATTGAACATTCATTGGGGGCCCGAGTGTGTGTTCTTCAGAGATCCTCTGTTATTCACTTTGAGAATATTCTGCTCATAGAAAGCATCACGGCGCTGGTAGTGGCAAGGGGTGGGGTGGGAGGGCTTCTCACGTCCGAGCGGCCGCTGTCTCTGCAGGCTATATTTAATTGGACTCTCATTCGGTATCTTCCAGGTTCGTCCTCCTTTTGATCATGAAGACGGTCTTGGCAACAACGTGCATGCTTGAAAGCCAGAGGGAGGCTTGTTCATGCACTTTGCACTCTGCTTCGCTTCAATCCATCAGTTGACAGGGAGACAGAGAGATATTCTCCTGCCCCGCTCCTTACATGCAAAGCTACAATCTACCTCTGTTCCTACTGACAGGCTTTCCATGTGACTCGTAAGTCCTCCATCGAGATGCAACTGCCACAGCGAATTAAGAGGAGGCCAGACAAGACGAAATACCATGACTAAGGATAGAGAGGAAGACTGCCACGATAGCTGACGCAATCATAAACCAAGAGGTACAAAGAGGCTTGAAGGTTATCTGCAGCCCACATTCAGCTCAACACCCCAATTAACCCTAATTACTGCCACACTTTTCAGACAGATGAAAGTTAATAGAATCTGAAACTTTTGTCATCATGGGAAAATTGTCTTTGGGTAGTGACAGTAATTTCAGGCTTTACAAGAAAGTCATTAGCGGAGCTATTTGGCTACTTCCTCTCATCTGCCCACGCAAACTGAAGGACTTTGCTAAGACCCAGGGGGCTGTTGACACACCTGATCAGGGCACTCAGCAGAGGAGCGATACTTGAACAAGAGCGGGCAGGTGTGGTCAACAATGGAGACCCCAAAGACCCAAGCCAACAGACCCACTGTGACGTGTGGCAAAGGCTGCCAAGAGCTCTGCGAGTGTATGTGTCACGTATGTGTGTGTACATTTGCCTGCATATATTATCCTTGAATTCAATGAGTGAAGAAGTTCAAGTAGTCAGAATGTGGAGGATTTCCAGACTTGTCTTCCAGAGAAGCAGTTTATGTGTATGATTACATATTGTACTGGAAACTGTAAAATAACTTTCCACTTCAGCCTTTAAGAGATGTCATATATTGTATGCAGGTGTCAGTAATGGTTGCGTTCTCAAACACAGCTAGACGAGAGCTGGTGCATTAGGATATTTCACATTTCTTAAATTTCCTCTGTGGATTAAATCAACTCATCTAATAGGAATCACTTCCTGAACCACTGTTTCTCCACTGGTTTCTGTGTGGCATTCAGCTTAGTTCAGTGAAGTGGTGACATTGACCAGATAAAATAAACTTAATTATCCTTTATTATTTAATCATTTATTAACAAGTTTGCATTAAAGGATGGATTCACACTTTTTCCTCACATGCCCATATGTGCACTGAAAGTTGCAGTAGTTATTACTGGTGTCCTAACTTTGGCCCCAATGAAACAGAGCGTGTTTTAGCAGCCTGGGGTGACTTTTTGTAATTGTTTCTAATCTCAGTGAAGAGTTCTGCCTGCTGCTTTTGCCTTGCTGATTGCCTCATGAAGCTCTGGCGAAAGTTCAGCCAGGAAGACGATACTTTTCATGCTCAGTTTCTTTCTCTACCTCCCATTCACTCCTACGTGACATTGTCTGGATAGGTCACTTGAATCATCAGCTGATTCACAATCAATCGATAGTACAGTGACACACCTTCTCTGTCAGCCTATCATCTTACCGCTCCTTTTAAATATGGTTCTTTCTTTGCCGTTGTTTTTTCTTGCTGCCATCATGCGTACCCACCTATTCTTTACGGATTCATCAGCCTCATCTGCCTCAGCATCCATCAGCCTCAGAGTCAGCAGCCACCACCACCACCAGTGTCTGGACATCTTGCTGCCGCTAAGACGTCCTTCAATCACAAAATATCTCCCTCTGGTGTCCAAGCACCAAAGATTTCTGTTAATCAGCACAAATCATCTGTTGATCTGTACATTAATATTCTGTATTAAATATTACCAATACTTCATTCTCCTGTCTCTCATGATTGACATGTTTTTATGCTTTGTGTACCTCATGTTTTTGCAGGAGCACCTGACGTCATTGGCATTTTGTCCCATTGTCCAGTCAGATGAATTGAGAGTAGGGCCTTTTGTGGTGGCGATGACAGCAAGTATTAGCCTACATGGTTTGTGTGAAGCATTGTCTAAGCATCGCCAGCTTTAAGACACGTCTGAACAAATTTGAAACCTCTTACTTTCTAACATTAAACCAACTGTAATTAGGCCTGATGATCAACAGCATATTGTGGAACTGTCCCCAAATCATCCTGAAATAAGCCTTGGACTGACGTCATCTAGGCAAAGCTCCTGAACCACCTGGCGGTATCCCCTGTGATTTCTCCTCTATTTGAGGGTCTCATACCCACATTAATCTCTGTTTCCTGTGACCAATGTGATATTTGGAAACAACCTCTTCCTATCACTCACTCAGCAAATTCCCTCCATCTGTCCATTTTTATGCAAATTTTAAGTTACAGATGTGTGAGTTTACTGAACAGCAAAATAGCAGTTAAGCTAAGGACAGGATGTTTGGTGGTTGCCTAGCAACAATTACAAACAAGAGGCAGCAAGCTTTTAAAAGCGTTTTGTCTGATCAGGGCAGGCTTCAACAAAAAAAAAAAAAAATAGTGTGGTGTGCCGTGTGTTGTTCTGTCTGATCAGGACCTAATGTGACTCTAATGTGAGATATGAAGGACAAAATCCACAATCCTCTTTCCATGTAAAAAGACTTTACAAAGTTTAGCAGAAGTTAAGCTAATATGTGGTTTCAATGTACATACGGGCATGTGAGTATGTGAGCAAACAGATTCTATCCTTTAAATGTACAGAACTTGTTAGCTGGATGTGGACACAGCTTGACAGAAATAGTTCGAGTTTAGTTCGAGTGTGAAACACTGAGGGGGGACAAATGATCGTTGCGTAACAGTCACATGACTTGTGCATGCACACGCACACACTCTCATACACACACAATTTACCCTCTCATAGAAAGCTTATGCATCAATGAGAAAATAATCCTAATTGCTTCTCTTCTATCTGAAGTGGCAGCGGGTTGCGACTGTTCCCTGCATGCCTGATGGAGAGATGTGAACCGTTTGTGTCGTGAAACTGCAAACCACACGATGCAAGCCGAGCCATTCTCTGTCTTCTTGTGACAAGAAGAGAGTGGTGCTTAGGTTGATCATGGCGCTGATGCAGTGCAGGTGAGGTGCTCAGCTCCCCACTGAGGCCACTCGTACTGAAAATGCACTCGGGGGTAGGATGCTCTTGATAAAAGCGTTGAGTGAAAAGGCATAGTTAAGCATGAGGCAGCGGGGTGATCGGCTGGTGATGTGCAGCAAGCTGGCCGAATGGTTGCGGTGTGGACAAACAGTGCTCCAAACAGTCTTAAAATGCTTCCTTCTCCTGTCTCCTTCCTTTCAGATACATTATTTACAGTTTTAGACATCAGTTATTTGAAACATATCCGATTCTCATGCTGAGTACATCAATCCAAACATAACTTATTTAAGTATTAGTGAGGGAAAGGAGAGGAGGCCATGCTAGACTGTTGGTTGTGCAGCCAAAGCAACCATCAGCGGGCAGGTGGGACCAAGCCTTTGTTACAGCTCAGCTGAAAGCGGGGAGCAGGGACGGTGCTGGAAGATGGGGGGTTTAGCGGAACTAAACCAAGCAGAGACCTGCGTCGAGGGGCGAAGAGACGGAGGAAGAGGAGGAAGAAGCGGCAGCGACAGCAGCAGGGGTGGAGCCATGGGTAGAGGCTGGTCCAGCAGCGAATGGAAAACTTTTTTACACAGACATATATAGACAGAGAAGAAATAAGGACAGTGCAATGCATGCTTAAATGGACTCTCAACGATTCCTACTGCAAACATATGGATACACCAGTGTGTCATTTTGTGCATGCTCGAGTTATTATCTTAAAGTCCTCACATACTCCACTGATAAATTTATGTTCTGGAATCTGTCCTCAAAACAAATACGCTACGATAAAACAATCAATAGCAACAGTGTCAGATTAGTCAAAACATAAGTAGCTCCACAACCGTACACAAACCCCACATACTTTTTTCAACAGCTGAGGTTTTTATACTGTAAGTGATAGCCTGTTAAAATATGCGCAAGAGTTATGAATCATGTAAAGCGAGGCCCCAGGAAAAAAAGAGCTCTCTCCCTCTCTCGTAAGGTCATTTGCTGCACAGGCTCATCTGGGCTCTAATTGAATTAAGCAGGCCTCGGGGGGCCCCGGGCTAACCTGAGCGCTAATCTGTGGGCCATTATTTCCTGTTAACAGCACACTCCCTCTCTGCCGCTCCCCACCCTCCTTCCCTCCCTGTCTGCCAGCCCAAAGCATATGTGCTTTAAAAGTTCACTCACTACAAACCTGAGCTGCTGTCTCCTGCGGGGATCAACCTTAAAAATAGAATGAGGCTGATTTTTTTGTGTGTGTGTGTGTGTTGTTTGTTTTATCGGGGTTATGTGATGAAGATGATGGCTCTAAGTCTCCATGGAGGGAAGAGGGGAAATGTTTCCTAAGAGAGGTTTAATGATGATAGCTGCTGAAATCAGAGTTTTCTTCTGTATGTCAAAGTTTGTTAATTCATTTATTTACTCATGTTAGTTTTTTCCAGTGCTTTTAAATGGAGTTTTAACAAAGTTCATAAGGCTTTAACAAACATACATAACCATTTGCCATCTGGGCTTAAATAACCAGAGTAAGACACTAAAATAAAAAGGATGTAAGGATGCAAATCTTTACCCAGACCCAGTATCCTGCACCCGGTATGGAGTGTGTGTTGTATGGATTTTCAGTGTTTTGATACACTTATGACCACATCTACAGTGTACTAGTTTAATCTGAAAGTGCAGGCAATATAAAATACAAAAATGGTATGGGTCTGAAGACCATACAGGCTCTGAGATTAATGTCCTGTCCAGAACAAGAGCTCAACATCTTGCACGCGGACAGCTTCAACCTGGGACCTACCAGTTGACTCTTGAATCCCATCGAATCCTTGACTCTTATCCAGCCACCCTACTATATAGTGAACTATCTATCACAACAGTAAAGTTATAGGAATCTTTAAAAAATAAAGAGCTCAGTTGGAAACCATCAAAGGGGCTGGGTGTCCTTCTCACCTGGTGTCGTCCCATTCGGGGCTGAGTCCGGTCAAAGAGCCACGAGACTCTGAGACAAACTTGTAGACGACCAACAGGCAGTCTCGGCACAGCTGGACCAGGCGGCGGCAGCACTGCAGCTCCTGGGGTGAAACCACCTCGCTGCTCTTACTGAAGATGGTCTCCCACGATGAGCTGCATAGCAAACGAGAAGGCACGCACACACACGGGGCGGAATTAAAACGAGCAGTTATAGATTAGCATCACGGTGAATGTATCAGTATGCGCAAGTGTACAGCACATGTATATCATGTTGATGCATGATGCAGGCACACAGATTAAGTCAGACTTATTCATATGTATGTAAATATGTTCTCTAATGTGTGGCCTTTACTGTACGTGTGTGTATTTACATTTGCATACGCATACACACACGCTCGCAGACATGCAGGGAGACACAGAGAGGAAGGATGAAACAAATCCAAGTACAGTTAACCCCCTTTACAACCCCGGACATACCCCTAACTGTGCGAGAGCTTCAACAACTGAGACACACAACCCCGGGGGGTACGTTTGATGTCTACCCCCTTTTACTCCTTGGGAGGTGGGAGGCGCTTCCTCTGAAAGGGTTCAAAACTGTGTTTCCATTCTCTTTCTCTAAGTCGTGTTCAAAGCCTGTTGAATTCATCGCCCACAATAGCTGCTCGGCCGTTTGATTGTTGTTAAGTCCCTCAGATAAAATATCAAACAAGAGACGGGGGGAAGGGTGTGGGGTGCTTTTCGAGGTGCACCGCTTCTCCGGCGCTGCGTGACATCGGGGCCCCCTGTTGGGTTCATCCATGTTTGGGCCGTGGCCCTGTTGTAGAGAGGGGCTGGATGATAGGCTAGCAAGCTAGCTGGATCATCCAGGGCAGGCTGTAGTCAAACAAAAGCTGCATGGGGCCCAGCATGCCGGGGGTAGCTGAGGCTAGGCTAGGCTAATCCTCCCACGCATCTACCCTTCCACCCAGTCTTTTCTATACGTTTTTTCCAGTCACTCTCATCTCTGCTTTTTATCTGTCACCGGGTCCCTCCCCTTCTCGCCTTCTGCTTATCTCCCCTTCATCTCTATCACCTGCTCACTGCCTTCCTCACTCTCCCACAATTACGACTGCCAAGGAACTAAGGGAGGAAGAAAATGGAGAGCTGTGGGCAGCGACTTCAGTTACACCCTCTGAGCCCTCTGTGTCGAGGGAAACACGGCCACCGAACAACTGAACTGTAAAGAATATGGAGGGGACGAGATGCGAGAAGGTCACACCTTCATCACAGACAAGATGGAAAGCTACCAGCACAGCAGCTGTCAGGCTTGTGTGTGTATATGTGTGTGTGTCTATGTGTGTGTGTGTGTGTGTGTTTTTTTTGCTGTCTGTATGACTTTGCTTGAGAGTGTTAATGTGTGCAAATTCAATGTATGGAAACCAACTTTGTCCGTCTCTAAGAAAAGCAAGATTTATGTTTAAGAAAGTCTATGTGAATCACTGCAGGGAAACAGTAGTTTTGAGTGTCTGTGTGTGCTTGTGTGTGCGTGTGTGTTTGTTTATCTGCTTTTTGGGGGTTTCTATAGGAACATGATCAAGTTGGCTGTCACTGCAGTGACTCATCTTGTAGGAAGCCACTTACTGCCACATCAAAAAGTAGGAAAAGAAATAAATAAAAAGAAGCCCCAATGAAAACTTCAAAGTATCTGATAACAAACCATAGTAAAAGAACTAAGAGGCCCTCATTCACCTCCTTCCTGCTTCCATTCCTCCCCTCTCCTTTTCTTGCTCTCACCTGTGAAAAAGCCCTGATTAACAGCCCAGATTTGTGACCTTAATTTGCACCCTGTCTCCACAGAGTAACATGTTTCTTTCATCCCCAAGAGCTTTCAGGAAAGTGTGGCGGGGTCTGGTTGGTCTGTCACTCATTCTCTGTCATTCAGCTGCAGTTGCTTCCCTCTGAATAAATACTGAATAAAAATGGCAAATTGTCCCTGCTGTCACTGAAAATGATACATTGACGAACACTGGGCTTAAGGACACGGGGAGATTGCACGTGGTGCGTGAACTTCTAGTTATGGAGATGAAAGAGTGGTGTTATGCAGTGAATAGAGTGGTAATTGGCCTGCAGTGTGATGACTTGTTTGTGCTGATTCAGAAGAATTAGTGTCCATGAACATCTCAGCAGTGTTCTTTGTGATACTCTGAGCAAATTTTCAATCTCTCTTTTGATTTTCTTGTCTCGGCTTGTTGGTCTTGGTTTAAGTCACCAATTACAGATAAAACTTTGATTTTTTGCCGTTCCTCTCTCTCTGAGGGCAGGCCTTTCCCTCAGACCTTGGATTGTGATGTGCAGATGCGGAGCAGGGGGGGTTCCAGCCACAAATGTTTTCTGAAAAGCCCTGAATCTTCAAGGTTTTTAAAACACTTTCAACTTTTTGTCATTCCAATAATAAACCATGCCCATGTTGCTCCCTATAGAAGTCTAATATCGCTTCTGTTTGCCCAAATTCAGTTCAGAGTGTTGAAGACCACATGTACTTAGCAATGTTGGGGATCCTCAATTTGCAATTAGAGCAGCCCAGATTATTATGGCATGGGTTCATCTGTCGCAGAGTTGTCGGCTTAACATTCATTCTGTGAACTCTACTCCAGCATAGTGTAACAAGAACAGGTTTCAAAAACACCAACTTGTTGCCTTACCTCTGTTTAAAGCAACTTAAAAATAGTAACTTTACACAACGTTTGCCTCTTTTTAGGCAGCAAGAGTGAAAATTAAGCCTTGCTTCGACCAAATACTTTCAGTATGGTACCTTGGGAACCAGAAGTACCCTTCAGACATGGTACCTAGACCCCCACTGCAAACAGTACTCTTAAATGTGGGCGGGGTTGTTGTCGCTCACTGCTCTGTCCAGCACTCACTGTATTTCCTGACAGTGACACAGATGGAAGTCTGCACCTCGTTCATCGTCCACAGAACAAGACAAAATAAAACAGGCTGCAGTGAGAGTCTCTCTCCATGGGATATTTAAAAATAGTGGATATGAGCATTTAGTCCTTCTCAGGCAAGCTCACGGGTTTAGTGTTGCTGTAGCCCACAGGCACAATGCTCCACGATGCTTTTTTGTTTTTCTCAGAGTGAAGATTAGAATATATGCAGTTCACATAACCTGGCCGAAATGAATATATATAAACACTTGAAGATCCACTCATTACTGAAAGTGTATGTCATATAAAAACTACAGTGATGGTCAAAGTTGTCAGTGAAATTTAGGGTGTGCTGATAGATTCACGTCGTCAACTCTTGCACTGAGTAACATTACAAGTTAACGTTCCACCTTAAAAGTTGCTGGCAGTCGGCCCAGTGAACGAAGTTATCTTTTCTCCGACTACAGCTGTTGCAAGAGCCACCAAAACATCCTTTCATCTTATAGTTACAGTTTACTTATTAAAACTCTCCACAGTATGAACAGTGGATACATGAGCCTTAAAACCAGCCACAACTCAGCCCTGAGCAGAGTGACCGTCCCCTATCGATTGATCATTGGACTGCAGTGTTCACAGCTCCACCCTTTAGTACTAGATCTGTGTGCTAGGTACCCCAACAGAGGGGGGACCAAAATGGGGATGGTACAGAATTGCTCCATTGGTACCATCCACAACTTTTCACAGTGGAAACAGAAAAAAGCGTACCGAACTGAACTGAACCATACTACTCAGTGGAAATGGGGCTTTAGTCATCCTTGACATTTGTTTTTTTTTTGTTTCAGAGTGATGAAGACAGTGTGAGAAAAAGTTAATATGAAATAGTAGGTAGGACTTTACAGGATGAGTTTGGAAACTATCAAGTTTTTTCCAAATGAAGTACAGATTTTTAGGGATTGTATTATCTCAAATGGCTTGACCATGCCCCCAGACCCCCTAGGTTTGTGTTAAGCCCCGAATGTTTACAATGTCCGGCTCTGCCCTTGGTGACATGATCAAACAACATTTATTATCTCGCCATCCTGGCCTACCCAGTGTTGGAGAAGCAGTTCCACAGGCCCTGTCCATGACTCCAGAGCAGCCGGTTGAAGACGCGGTTAAAGAGCCGGTAGAGGTGGAGACTCTCTACGTCCGGCTCCCTCCAGATTCGTTGCAGCGCTGAGCGTACATTGGTCCTTACGATGTCCAACACCTGAGTGATAGAGAAAGTGACAGGGAGATGGGGGGAACAAACAAGAGAGCAACAAAGATTTAAATTAAGCATCTGATAATGACGGAAATTAATGCTGCAAGACAAAAGGTGACAGAATTTCTAATTGATATGCATGAGCTGGCATTTGTTCCAACTAAGATTTCTTTCTCATTTTTTTTATCTTACCTTAAAATTTGCAATCACAGAGGCTAATGCATTCACTCAGCAACAGAGAGCAGGCTGGCATTAATGAATAAACAGATGGATGCATGCACAGGAACACCAGCACATATGCACAAACACATCCTGCATACTTATTTAATCAGACCTCACACACATGTAGTGAGGACTGGAGCAGGTTTATCTCTGCATTCATGTTAAAGCATGCGCAGACATATGTGTACTTTGTGTGTGTGTGAGTGTGTGTGTGTGTGGCTGTGGTAGGAGCAGGACAAATAAAAATGCTGGGGCAGACAGTGGAGAGCATGGGAGAGGACTAATTGCTGCAGCGACATCAGTCTTGGAGAGAAGGTGTCAGAAGTTCTCAGGCGGTCTGAGGACACCTGCGCCAGCCTTCCATCTCCCCTTCTTCGTTTTTCTCCATCCCTACCCACCTCACTGCCTTCTCTTCCTCCCTTTTTCTTTCTCTTTTCACCCCACTCAGAGTGCAGCGCTGTGGCTCTTTTAACTTTGATTCCTCGCTCCTCATTACTGACATGCCCGTCTTGACTGTGTGTGCTTGTGCGTGTGTTTGCGATGCGAAGAGGCAAGATTTCCCCACAGCAATATGAGGCGAGCGAGACACACGCATACACGCTCAGACAAACTGATAGATGAGTAAACACACACACACAGATATGTTTTGGTATGGTAATCAGATGGCAGAGCGGTGGGCGCTACATTCCTGACCTCTGCCTGCTGCTCATTAGGCTGCTCCACTCCAAATAAAACATTGGCTCGCACCGCCACAGCCCACAACACAGCCGAGCACAGTTGTGCAGAAAGCAGAGGCTGAGAGATCACATCATTACTGACACGCCTACTGGATGCCATTCCACGTCTTGTCCCCCTCTTCTGTTTTGTTTATATCCTATTTGGTGTCTCTACCTCTCACTGTCTGACATGATAATGATCTTCATGCTCCGCTTGTTGTTGTTTTTTTCTCTGAAGTTTGATTTGGGGATTATTTTAGTATTTTAAAAGTTGTTCAAAGGAATAGGTAGGAGCGGTGACAATCTGTCATATTCACCAGTCTTAACAAACGTCCATCCTATATAGTGACAGTATAGACAGTGTAGGAACAAGGGCAACGGCAGGATATTTACACAGGTGTAAAAAAGATAAATTTGGCCTATTTTTAAAACATTAAGACATATCCAGAAGTGAAGCAGGAAGCATAACCTCAGATAATAATCTCTGAGAATATAACAATTATTAATTAATAAGTGTTACTACCTAGACGAAGCTCAGGTTTTCTCACTCAAACATCAGCTCTGTGTCTTTCTCGAACACACACATACCTGTCAGATCTTTCTTTTCTATCTATACGGTTGAGGACATGCTGATCTGTGCAGCACAGGGCAACATTTCCAGCAGCCTATCCTTCAAACCATCAGGATAACTATATGTTTTCTATTTTAAAAGTCATCTTATTCTTCTCTCCTTTGTTGAATTGTCTATCATTATAAGTTGAAGTTGCGATCTAGTCCACTTAGGAAGTGGCATCCTCTTATCCAGATTCTAGCAAATATCGTAATGACAGGTTTGAAATAATCGGGTGTCCTTAAACGTATTTTAAAGTAGTTCAGGATTTTAGATGGATATTGCGCTGAGCATCAGTTGCTACCGAAGACAGCAACTGAACTCTGGATGATTATGTCAGAAGTAAACTGACTCAGACACCTTGTAATCTGATATCAGCATAAGACTCACCTTCCGTTGTTTGGTAGAGTCCAGCTTCACCAGCCAATAGGAGGCCACCTTTGATTTATGGTATTTCCAGTTGTCGAGAATCTGTGGAAGAAAAGTCAGGGTTAGAAAATGAAACAATATTTTGAATGTGCACACAACTTCTTTTAACACAGAATTACTTTAAAAGTAATATTACAATCAAGTAACACATTTAAAAACACCATCAGAGTGTTTTAAAGGAACAGAAAAGAACACAGCAGGTCTGCTCCACTGCCATTTTATTACATCTGCTGTTTCCTCGCAGTCCTCCATCAAAACCCAGGGTTACTACAGCATTCTTACAGGGCAGTCATTGTGCTGTGCAGTTCAATCACTGCCTACAACGACCGTAAAATCAGCATATCAGGCTGCCTGCTAAGCTAGAGCACAGTTAAACTCCATTACTTTCTTTCAGTGTTTTAAACCCATAAGAATGTACAGACTAAATCTAGAGCTCATTCCCACCATCACACATCCACCCTGGCAGACGTTCTTTCACACTTCAGCCCAGACATGAACTCTGTAACATCTATGGGTTCATCTATCCGTTAACGTAATGCATTTCTGGCTTTCACACATGGATCCCCATTATGGAAAAGTTCCATTCTCGAGCATGACAGGATCATTACTGATACAGCTTCGATGCTTGTCCGATACTTGGGAGCGTGTGATACTAGGCAGCTGAGGGCATATAATGAGAGGGGACAGATTGTTTACTGTGGCACATCAGAGCACTGATCAGACCAATTTCAAGCCAGTTTTACAAGATACTAAATTTTATGTCGCAAAAGTCTTCAGAGTCAAATCTCCCGCTTCACAATTGGTACATAAAAATGCACACTTATATTCCACTATTAATTTGAATGTGACAATATTCTGAGTTTGTTACAGGTCTTATAAATGGCATATTTTGTTTGAATAATCTGAATTAGGCTTTATTCTATATGAAGCAGTTTGTGATTAAGACGTGGGATATGTTGATATTATTCTGGTTGACATTCTTTGGACACGTATACAGCGCATTGGGAATATGCGTCTCAACTGGGGTTTTTACTGCAGTTTGTGGCACCCTCTTTTGCCTGTTAATGGTCAGCTCTGTGTGTCTCTACGGGTATGTTGTACACAAACCAACTCCGCAACAAATTGCAAGGCTAGGGTAGAGATGCATGCCCAAAAGAAAAGGCCACGTTTCTAGTAGAAAAGAAAATATCCAACTACTTTTAAACATTATGAACGAATTGGTTATCAACAGGTTTTGGATTTGCAGAATTATCTCAACGCCGACCTTTTCAGGAAGGTCTTGAAGGAAGGAAATAGGGAGGCTGTGATGGCGCATTCAACAAGTCCGCCACAAGTGGAAAACTTTTTTAAAAATCCTAGCACAAGCAACAGCCATTCCATTTTTCCATATTTTGATATGGCGGCATGTTGGTGCAGTGTTAGCATTGTCGCCTCACTGCAAGAGGGTTTTCTGGTTCGATCTCCAGGATGGGGGAGCCCCTCTGTGTGGTTCTCCCTGTGTCAGAGTGGGTTTTCTCCAGGTACTCCAGCTTCCTCCCACAGTCCAAAGACATGCAGGTTAATTAGTGACTCTAAATTGTCCATAGGTGTGAATGTGAGTGTGAATGGTTGTCTGTCTCTATGTGTCAGCCCTGTGATAGTCTGGCGACCTGTCCATGGTGTACCCTGCCTCTTGCCAAATGGCAGCTGGGATAGGCTCCTACCCACCCCACGACCCCCAACAGGATAAGCGTGACGGAAAATGAATGAATGAAACGACAAGTAGCCACATGTTAATCACAGTATGCGTGTCTGCAAGTGAACGTATTAGTAGAATATTTATTTTCATTAGCCATGTAAACAGCTATGGAATATTGTCTTTTTCAGAATAAGGGCAAAAACAGGAATATTTTGTGCATATAAATGTAGCTAATGATGAGGCAGAGAGTTTAAAGCATCACTTTGATTTACTGTTTTTTTTACTGTCAAAACAAATGCATGTACATGTTAATTAGCTCGTAGGTGGCCTGCCTTCTAGGGAAAAATGACCTGAGGTCATGTTCAAAAAAACATCTAAAATGTGGCCAGCCTTTACAGAATACAGTGCTGGAGCAGACTTTTGTGTGTGGTATTTTTTCACAGCACAGCTCGGGGATAATAGAAAAATCCAGTCGTGATCTTTGGTTTTTGAGCAGAAAAACCCTATGTTTTGCGGGTATGTCAAAAATCCTTGGGGCATGTGTCGTTATGCTCAGAAGCTGTGTTGGATATTCCCATGCACTTGCTCCTAGTGCCAACATCACTGTGTACCTACAGGCACTGTTATTGTTGCTCTGTTGACTTAGTCTACATCTCCCCACTGGTGCACATAAACCTCTCACGTAGCATGTTAGATCCCCTGCAAACAGTGCTCCCATTGGGAAGCTCCAGTGTAAACTTTATGTTTACTCACACACACACACATGGACACACACACACACACAAAAACAATCCACCAGGATTCACAGATACAGAGCTGAGGTATACAGTGAACACTTTTGTTGGCTTTCCAGAAAGTTACTTGTTTGCTTGTTAAGTACACTCTCTCAATAAGAACCTTATGAACCTTGTCTGGTAAGATGTACGCCCATTTGTCACATTTGTTTTGTACAGAATGAACACATATTACCCTCAATTAAAGCACAACAGAACATGCACCATACATTTCACCTTTCAATGGCTCCAACTGCAACAAAAAAGCATGTTTTGAGTGAAAGATAAAAGAGGCAATTACTCGGATAGAAACACACCATTAGCCCAATTAGACCTCAACTTTAATGTGGGAAAACATAAATTGCCAAAGATTGTTTTCATGCCAAGTGAACACTCCTTTCTCTCCTGAGGCAAAGAGTGAGCCGTACAGGTGCAGTTGCTCATCTGCGTTTCCATGGCGCTCTCATTAGGGTTTGTTAACAGTACAGGTGTGGTGGTAATTGTCTCGCACGACCCCGACACACCCAGATGTCACGTACACACATAAACTGTTTTTGCTGTTCTTGTGAGGACATTGTTACGGCTCACGTTAATTACTTGGTGGCTTGCCCTGACTTAACCTTAATCATAACAAGTACATGCTTTACTCTCACCGTTATACAGCCTTTAACTTTCTCGTTATTAGGAGACGTTCATAATTAAATCAATATTAGGGATATTTTGTGCTTTATGACAATGGCAAATTACATTTATATTTGAATGTTATGGTGGTTGAGTCCAACATTTTAGGGCTGCCCCCTCAACACTGATTTTTATGTGATGGAATCATTGGTTAAGAAGCTCCCGTGTCATTTTGGGCTTTTTTTCTTCTTTTTTTGATGCATCATTGTAGAGAAACACAAGATTGGAAGGCTTTTGACCACCCTGCTACTTTATTTGGCTCAGAGTCGTGCGACAGAGGGATCACTGACCTTACATTTGGCCTGAAAGTCATCTTCAGGTTCATACTTTTGGGTTTCTACGAGACAATATTTACATGCTTTAATGCTCAAAAAAAGACTATTTGTGACATCACCCATTGGTTTGTGGACTCTCATTCTGAAGCCTCAAGTTCAACATTTCAGCCATCGCCATTTTGTTTTGTTTTTTGGAGCCAGAAGTGACCATACTTGGGTGAGAGGCTGGTGCTGTAGAGGGGTGAGGGGGTGGATGTGACTGAGAAGATAAGGACACTATTGGCACACAGCCTGTCAGTTAAAGCGGCAGTTAATTGCTTAACTTTAAGTCTAAATAAAATGTAAGTGGGTAAGTTTTATAAAATGTTACACCTTGTACAGTTGTAATGAAGTGAAAAATGGCTATAGACAGCAAAATCGCTTTTTATACCAGGCTGTAAACATGATTATTTTCTGCTATAGAGTTTGGCATTTTAACATAGGGGTCAGTGGCAGTTAACTGGCTTCTGGAGCCAGCCTCAAGTGGCCATTTGTGGAACTGCAGGTTTTGGCACTCATGTATTGGCTTCATTTTTGAGCCCCAAAGTTGACACTTGGTATTCACCCTCTGTCTGAGACCCTCTGTTTTAGCGCCCATCTCTTTAAGGCCCAATCTGCTCTGATTGGCCAGCGTTTCCAGTGTCTTCCGCATCTGCACTCTCTGCGTTTCTACACCGTCACTGCACCCAGCAGAATGACTAATAGAATATAGTGGCACTTTCTACTGTGAAATATCTCCAATAAAAGCTTCTCAACCAAAATCCGTAAGGAATATATGATCCGAAATAAGGAAGAAAATAACATCTGCAACCAAGATTACATTTCCTTGACGTTAGTGATAGCTACATGTAGCAGTGTATGTAATGTAAACACTTGCAATAGCGTGCCTGAAGTTGACGTCAGCTTGTCACTGGAAACAGAGTTATTCAGAACGATCTGAAGCCTTAGGTTTCTGCTCACAGGGATTACTTCTGCATACATTTGCCTCATTATTTGAAACTTTGGCCACATTTAATATGAACATCTGATACTGTGACATTATATATATATGACAGAAAATAAGGAAAAGCACAACAGGTCCCCTTTAAGTTAACATCTTCTGTTTTCTTCCAGTACACTTCTCATGTAGCTGACTTTTTTGGGCCATTGAACATGTTGTTTTGGTGGCATTTCTGTCATTAGTCAGCCTGGTGAAGACAGTCTGGCTGGCTGCTGTCCTTTCAGCACCACGGGAGCTGTGGTGCTGAACAGACAGCTGGTTCTGAGGACAGCTACGGCCGTAACGGAGGTCAGAGTCAGTGTGGACTGGATGGATGAACGCTTTCATAGTACTTTAGTGCCACTGATGTGTTGTTTCTGCTGTGAGTTGAAGGTGAGCCTCTGCCTCTCTTTGATTTTTTTTCTTCTTTTCTTACAAAATGTAATAACCCATTTCAGCCTTTATTTTTTCGTAATTTTAAAATTTTCTAAAATATTCTAAATAGACATTTGGATGATGAATGTATTGAACTACTGCTGCTGTGTTTCTGCATGGCCTGCGATACAGTAACACATAGTTGTCGTTCTCTTAAGTTGTGTTATATCTGCATTGTTAAATTCTTGGGCAGCCTGCTTCCAGTTGTACATATAAATGTCATCTACATCCATATGAGTCGAACACATGAGCCAATTCTTCTATTATTTCTACAGTGGTATTTTACAAAAACATAAAAAACACTGTTCAAACACACCAAATGCAAGAACAGAGAGATCTGACCAGAAATAGAGGAGGCACTGATTAATACAAAGGAGCAGTGGGGAATAGCGCGGGACTGCAGACTGAGCAACAGGTTGTCACTGGGGTCATTTGAAAGACGATGGGAGCCAAGCCAGAGCGGACAGGCTATTGTGGAGGGAGGCAAGGAGGTCACTTTTAGTTAGGCTGCAGAGTGACCACACCTGGCCACAGTGGGGGCTCTGGGAATACAGTGGGCCTGAATATCTGTGCAAAACTTTTACTCCATGTTCACTCCCTCTGTCTTTCCCTTGTCTATTTCAGTCTGTTACCTTGTTCCGATTTTTACATCCTGTGTCTGCCTCTGAATCATTTTCATACACACTAATATAATAGAAACAGTGCACACACCTCATCCAACACAGCCTCGGCCTCTTCCTCGGTTTTGCCCGGAAACCTGATCCTCATGGCGGTGAGCGCAGCCAGGGTCTGACGCACCAGCTCGGCCTCCTGCTCTTTACTCCTCAGGTTTATCAGCGGATCTCCCTACACGCACACACAAAGTAGGGAGGCACCAATTAAGTATACACTTACACATTATTAAAGCAAAAAGGTTTTATTCGCCCCTTGGTATATCAGATCCAAAAGGACTGTTCAGAACATACACAATGTTACTGACGGAAATGGAAAATTATTTAAATAAGGTAAAGGACTGCCAGAGTCTGATTTAGTTATTAGGATAATTCAGTTTTTGGAGCAAAGTTTACAAAGTAGATACATTTACAGAAAGGGCTGCCACTCATTTTCATTATTAATTAATAGTATTTATTTAGGGAGATCATCCAAATCATTAATGTATGCTCCTGCAGCCACCTGTATAGTCACATATTTATTTTATTTTCTAATTTAATACCATTTTATTATTGCTAGAGCAATGCACTCACTGGTGAACCTATGTCCAATTTTAGATTTCCTGTGCCAGCATGCGCTTGTCGCCACATGTGTGATTCTCACAGGGAAGTCAAGTGTGCAAGCAGGTTAAGGAGATTGTCCTGTCATTTTGTGTACATGTGTGTGAGGATACAAGCATACAAGCGGTGCACTCTGTGGCCTTTTCAGTACAAAGGTTTTTCACTTACTGCTACTCTCAATGTTAAAAACTATTCTGTTCCATTTCAATTTGTTCCACTGTATCCAAAGGTACTTGTAAAGAAGGATGGGGAATGGAGAAGGCAGGCGGAAAGCAACAGATGGCAACATAATAGGAGACTACAGTAGGCCTATACAGTATTGAGGGAGCTGCTGAAGAGATTCCTAGTGGGCTGGCACACAATGTATGCCACAGGAAGAGGAAATCAACAATGGCAGACTTTGGCTAAATAGAAAGTAGGAAGTCTTGATTGTTTACTTTGAAGGGACGGTTCACCCCCAAGTCAAAAATACACATTTTACCTCTTACCTGTAGTGCTTTTTATCAGGCTTGATTGTTTTGGTGTGAGCTGCTGAGTGTTGGAGATATCGGCTGTAGAGATGTCTGCTTTCTCCCAGATATAATGGAACTAGACGGCACTCAGTTTGTGGTGCTCAAGGCGCCAAAAAAAAAATACAGTTGATAAACCCCTAAGTGATGTCTGTTTCCAGAAACTATGACCTGATTAATCAAGATAATCCACAGACCTTGTTGAACCACACCCACCAACCATATCACTGCACTGACAGAAGCGTGGATCCATTCATGGACAAGAGGCTTGTGACAGAGTGAGATGTAAATATAAATGGCGTCCTCCTTGGCTGAGCTGTAATGTTAGCTAGCTCAGTGGCGCTAGGTGAGCTAACAGTAGATGCATGCTTCCGTCTGCATGGTGATATGGAGGGCAGGTGTAGGGATAGGTATCGTTAAGATTTTATTGATACTACTATTTAGCTATTTTAGCCTATTTGTAACAATTCGCTTTTAGCCGAACTAGCGTGCTGTCCTTGTTTAAAACATAATATCAGCAGCGGTGGATGAGAGACTGTGGACAACACAGGTGAGAGGCTGTAGGGTGATAAGGGATTAAACCAAATTGTTAAAAAGTATCGATAAAAGAACTGATAAGGTCGGAGCTTATCAATACTACGGTCTTTGAGGATTTAGCCCCAGGGCTCAATTAATACCAGGTTTCGGTACCCATCCCTAGGCAGGTGTAGGGCGATCAAGAGATAATATTTCCTGCATGAAGCTCACAACAACAGGGTGTGTGGATTATCTCTCTGGAAAGAGACATTACTGTTGAGACTGGCAAATGTATGTTTTTGGCGCTTTGAGCACCACAAGCTGAGTGCCATTTAAATCCATTATATATGAGAGAAGGCAGACATCTCAACAGCTGATATCTCCAACACTCCGCAGCCCACACCAAAGCAGTGTAGACTGAGAAATAGCACTACAGGTAAGAGGGAGACTATGTATATTTTGGGGAGGGGAGTGAACTGTCCCTTTAAACCTACTTGGAGTAGTGGATCAGCAGAGGATTGCAACATTGAGCAATGTGACAGACCATTTGAAAATGAATTTCGTATACTTTTCTGTGACTGACAGCTTATCTGACACATTCTGAATCGTAAAGAGGTAAACCCGACTGTGTTTGTGTGTGTTGAGTATCTTACTATGTTGGAGTGGATGGTCCCCAAGCTATTGCTGTGAGGAACGCGGTGGGCGGAGCCACTGCGGCTCAGCGAGTGAGAGCGCAGCGTGGCGGAGCTCGGCCTGACAAGGGGAGTGGCCATGGGAACTGTGGGAGAAGGCCTGGTGGACAGTGCCCTCACCTCGCTGGGCGATGAGAGGGAGGCAATGGAGCGAGGGCAGGAGATGGAGCGCCTGATTGGACCGGAGAGTGTCGGGGAAGCAGAGGAGGCAGGGCTGGTTTTGAGTGACTTGATTGGAGGTTTCCAGTGTATGCGACCTGCGGGGAAACAGAGAGGGAGAGGGAGGAGGGGAAGAACACTGACTCACTGTCACACTTCAATTTCTTTTCTTCCCTGATCCTGTCTCAGTGCCCCAGTCACTGTCAAGCTCCCCTCTCTGCTTTCCATCCGTTGCCGGGTGGCTTTGGAAATGAAGTGTAGCTTTAAAAACTCCCATCGCCGCGCTCTGGCACACTGGCCCAGTGGCCCAGTGTGTGTGTTATTAACGACCGCAGCATGTGTAGTCGAAACCAGAAACTAAACAGTAGTCCTGTCTGGTTTGGGGATGGATTAAAGACCAGCAGAAACACACACGCACACATACACACATCTCACAGGAAATAAAGCTGAAAACCCACACTAACACTCTCCGTCACCCTTGAAACTCCTCCAGATTGTCTACCAGTCAGTGTATTAGTGTGTTTTCTATCCGTGCAGTGTGTGTGTGTCTGACATCAAGTGTGCACAGAAGCGATTATATGTTTTTGTGTGTGTGTGTGTGTGCGTGCGGCTGCTGAACCTTCCGAGGTTTGGATATTTTGCCAAATGAGAGCATTATGGGGCTTAGTCCTAGCAGCCTTTTGGTGGCTTGGTATGGAGTAGGGCTTGGCAGGGTTGCTGTCTCTCTTTGCACACGCACGTACACACACGCGCGGGTCCAAAAGTGGGGCTTTTTCATGGTTTTGTCCCTTATTTTGTGACAAATAGAATGAGCTCATGCAAGGGTCCTCTCTATTGAGCAGTAAAACCGTCGGCCCACAATGCAACCAGAGAATTTTTTCTTTCCAAGGTCGGCACATAGACTGCTGTGAAAGGTGCCCTCTTTCTCACTTCAAAGAGCTGAAAGTGAGTTATGTGTCTTATGCGAATTGGTGGGAATACTTGAGACTTATCACTCTCACTATAAAACCGGGAATATTTCAGCATTAAACTCAAGGTGTTTTCAAGGTAAACAACGAAAGGGGTCTTTTTTTTCCCCCCTTCCTTTTACTTTCAATCAAATTCCTCCGTCACCTTCCATTCACTGGAACTGCACTGTTCAGGGTACTTTTCTTTCCTCGAGTGCTTTTCAGTGCTTCAACATTTGTGTGTGTGTGTGTGTGTGTGTGTGTGTGTATGTGTGTGCATGTCCAGCTTGTGTGTGGAACTAGAACACTCCTTTACTGAGAAACTCAAACAAAGAGCCACTTTCGGCAAGTCATAGGCTATGATCACCTTGTTTACACTTTAATTAAAATCCAAGGACCTACCACCATTTTATCACATCAATTAGGCACATTAATAGTGGCGGGCTGATGAACATCTGTAATGTAGCCCCTGCTGGCTCACATCATCACAACCTGCGCCATGCTGCTGCTGGAGTGTGCGTGTGTGTGTGCGCTGTAAGTACTGATCAAAGCAAAACTCTCAGCATTTGTATTTAAAAAAGTGTGTGTGCATGTGTGTGTACGTATATGGAAATGTGTTCTGTACAACTATGAATATTTTTCAAACTGTATAAACGTGGAAAGTGTACCAGGCTGGAGTGGATGTCATGTCCTTGTAGCATTACAGGATCAATTCCAATTTCCCTATTGCATCATTGTGTACTGTACATTCACACTCTGTCGCTCCTGTCTAGGGCTGGGTGATATATTTACTATGTACGATGTATCCATATATTTTTAAGCAAGATATAAATTTAGACAACACCTTATCGATATAGGGTCAAGTTGTGTTACATAATGCACACCAGTGTGCATCTCTGATTGTGGGTGAGTATCTCTCTCAGTTCTCCAGCAACACTTTTTAGAGCTATAGCCTGACGTGCACCTCCCCAGGAATGTAACTACACGGCGCGGCGACGCAGACCTCCTGTTTATTTTTGTGAGCTGACACCATTTCCCTCAGTGGAATCACAGCTTTATTTACTTTTATTTCACAGATAAGAAACAATAAATTGCGAAGACAATAAAGCCTCCACAAAAATAGCATTTTTTTGTGTGTGATTTATCCTGGCTCCATATGAGTAGAGGAAATCTCCGCTATTTGCTAGGCTAATTTATACAATGTAAAATGCCATAGGCTTGTGCTTATAACTTTAGCATGTTGTACTTATTTGGAAAACGTGTTTAGTATAAGACAGTTTTGTCAGTGAACCTTGTGAGCTGTAATGGAGCTGAATTTTGTAACGTAACCTTTAATGTTGCTGTTGTCCCTGGCTTCATGAGAAGAGGAAAAGTCTGCTAGCTGCTAGGCTAATTTATACAATGTAAAATGCCATAGGCTTGTGCTAAAAACATTAGCATGTTTTATTTGTGGGGAAAATGTGTCCAGCAAAAGACAAATGCTTTGTCTGTGAATGCTGCGAGTCATGATGATGCCGATTTGTATACTTGTGTTTAAAATCGTGGCTATTAAGCCATGTTTAATGTGTGTTTTAGGTGTGTTTTGAATCAACTAAACTTTACAGCACTTCACAGAAACCCTGCAGCCGACTAGTGTTATGGAGGTGGAACTGTTGTGAAGCTGCATATTTTCAAACGGGAATAAAATCCGTCTTAGCATTATATTCTTATCACAGTCTGATTTTTTAAAACTGCTTGTGACATCTCAAATGTAGTTTTGACTTGCAACTGAAAACATGTTGCCCATTTCATAGAAAATACCGAGATATATATCGTGTATCGCCAGTCAGCCTGTAAATACAGAGATGTGAATTTAAGTCCATATCGCCCAGCCCTACCCGTGTCGCTTTGTTCTGTCACAGTCAGGTAAGATGGAAATGGAGATAGATATGCTAAGACAGCAATCTTAAACATGTGTATGGGTCTGGTATCTTACTGTGCACATTTACACATCTGAAAAACAAGTTAGTTTTAGTAATTAAGCTACCCACTGTAATCAGACAGAAAGTTCTAGCTAAAAAAGAAAGGGCAGGAGGAAAAGAACAAGTAAAATGAGGTGAAAGCAAGCATACAAAACAACAAAGTAAACAAGAAAGCAAACAAAGCAAGAAAGGAAGATGGCAGGAAACAAGGTCCCTGTGAAACCCCAGCGCTCTGGCTCCCTAATGAAGACATTCTCAGACTCTTTTATACATCCTGCGGCTTTACCTGAGCGCTCAGCCAAGTTCTTGTCCTTGCTCTCCCCAAGGTCGTAGGAAACTTTCTTCTCCCTCTTCTCCCCACTTCTTCCTTCTCCTCCTCCTCCTACTTTCCTCCTCTCCTCCTCTTCTTCTTCGTCGGAGGAGGAGCAGGAATTATCGGCGCTGCTTCCACTGGTGAAGTCAGCCAGGTAGTCCGGTCGTTGACGTCTCGGTGTCTGGCTGCATTCTGGCATGGCGGTCATGGGCTGGCAGGGACAAACACAGAGACACGGATAGGCGTAAGACATAGGAAGGGCAGAATGTGCACACATAGATCCATATATGAGACGGATTTGTGCACACATCCACAGATGAAACAGACATGATAAAACGCATATGCTCCTTCTGTTCCTCTCACACACACACACACACACACACACACACACACACACACACACACAAACTCACACATAATCATCTTTCTTCCTTTATCCTCATGGGAACCTCCACTGACTGTATTCGCTTCATAACCCTAAACCATCCAAAATTACTTCATCTGAGAAAAATGTTTTCCTTCCAAAGGTCTAAAACTCTCACAAGGACATAAGTACAAGAGTAAGTATATACACACACACACACACACACACACACACACACACACACTTATACATAAAGACACTGAGATGTTGTCAACCTCCGTCAGCCTCTCCTCACCCTCAACCTATTACCATCTGTCACTGGGAGTCCTGGCGGTGACATGGCTAGCCCATGTGCCCATACGAGCTTATTATATATATTCCTTGCAGGATCATTATGCACAAATACACAAGTACACATGCACTCTTTTATAAGCCTGGCTGTAAATGTGAACAGGGGCATGAGTGGCTTTGTACGTTGGACAAATTTGTCCTGATTGGTTGATATGCAAAAGGTCAAAGTTTAAGTTTCAAAGTTTCTTTAGGTATGAAATGTTTTGCATTGCCTGTGAAAGCATCTGTGACACTTACTACATTCTGAAACACTAGCTGTGTCTTGTCTCTAAAAAGGACCTGTTAAGTTAAGTTTCAGGTTCACCCTCTGTCTGAGACACTCTGTTTTAGTGCCTGTCTCTTTGAGCCTCTTCTCCTGAAAAAGCCCAGTCTGCTCTGATTGGTCAGCATTTCCAGGTCTTTTGCGTGTCATCCTGACAGCTGAGAATATAATTGTCAGGTATTGTCCCCCCCTCTATTAAATATGAAAGGAGGCTGAAAATCACAGGACATGTGTTCTGATGATACAAGTCAGTGGTCCTGAAATGTGTGTTTCTCTTCTATAATACACATTCTACATCTCGGAGCTGAGGTCTTTCCACATACGGGCTTCCTTCGCCTTTCAAACAGGGCAGAGCTCTGTGGGAAACAGTAGGAGCGACACAGCCCGAGGGGGAACTGGGATCTGACACAACACCGGAGAGAAAAGCAGGTCCGTGGAGCTGTGCGCCGGACAAAAAAACAAGCGCGTCGCACCGAATGCGCGTTGCTACGGCATCGCTTTGGGTTGTGAGCGCACATGACGCGTGTCTGCATTGAAAGTAATGGGTTTGTGCACGCAAAAGACGCTACATCTGAATGCCCCCCATGCACACACACACACACACACACACACACACACACACACACACACACTTTAACCAAGGTGGTGGCCAAAATCACCCAGACGGCCCGCCTTTGTCTTTGATAGGCAGGGAAAACCCTGAATATGCACTTCAGTCACATCATGTAACAAACCACGTAGGTCTATCAGCTGTGCACTCCGTATCAGACTGGAGACGTAACTTAAAAGATGGATGGGTACTTGCTGTCTTCCTACATTTGTAACGTTTCTTTTTAAAGCAGAAAACACACCTTTTCTATTGTGATACTTAATAGAAATGACATACAGTATAGCCAACAGCATGCAGCCTAGCTTGTTATTAGTGATGGTCATTTACCAGAAACTTTTATCTCCCCGGCGAACTCCCTCAAGTCACCACCTATGTTGGCTTTTTGTAGTAAAGTAATAAGGTATCACACAGATAATTTCTCAATTTAACTTCATGAATTGGCTGTCATTAGTAAGTGACAGGTAGCCTGTCAGTGAACGCTGAAGCCTGTCGGTGAACAGTGAACTGCGTTGCATGCAGCCAGTTAAGACACCTCTGTCATTGGCTTTAAATCCAAAATAATGCCATATTGGTGCAGATTTAGTTTTCTCTGCCATGTCTCCTCTCGTCAGCCCCCCCCCCCCCAAAAAAACAACAACAACAACAACACATGAATGTTTTAGTGAACAAACACTGCCCCTCCCATCTCTGCTGAAATGTGATTTCCTTCATGTTGCAGCGCTCAGCTTAAGGCCTGTCGGACACTGTTGTCTCCGTTAGTCCATTTATAAACAAACATCATAATATGTTCATCACATTGACATATTGTTGATTATTAATGCATTAAAAAGTTGGATTTAGCGCTGTCAGCACAGGTTGCCGATGTAGGCTACTTTTTAATTTGCCAGAATATGTCATGGGAAACGTCGGTTCAGCCTGTTTGCATTAAATCAAACTGGTATAAGCTCGTACACTCGACCCAACCCTCGTCAGCTTGTCGCCAAAGTAGAGGAGTAGTAGTTACAAAGAGACACAAACCATGATCTGCTTCAGCCCTAAAACACAAACACATACGCTTTTTTTTTTCTAGTTAGGAGTTCATTAAGTTGAGTCTTGTCTATTTCACATCCTGGAAGGGGACACACTGATAGCATTAATAAAGCATTTACACATCTGTTATTCAACGGTTAGCTCGGGCAGTGCTGTCAGGCCACCCAAATTAATGGGCAGGAAGTGATCACAGGGCTTACACAGTCACCGCTGGGTAGCTGTGTGGGTGAGTGATAGAGGAGGATAGAGACAGAGAGAGATTAAATACATGAGAGGAGAATAAAAGGGAAGATGGGAACATCAGATTGATGGGGAGAGAAATAAAGAGGAGGACAAGGTGAATCTGAGTATGGGAGCGGAGAGAAACGGAGAGGAGGCATTGAATAGACGGGAAGAACGGAAATGAGCACAGAGAGAGAGAAAAGGACACTGAACAAAGTACCAGTGGAGAGAGAAGAAGAGACAGGAACAGACAGTGGATAAACAGTGCAAAGTAAGACAAAGACAGAAGGCCAGACACTGAACAGATGAGGAGAGAGAAACTTTGGATGTTGGGCTGAGAGTGATTGGGTAAAATCAAGCTAAATGTTGAGCTGAGGAATCCTCAAGGAGCAACTGAAATAAAGTACATGTAACTGGAAAGAGAGGAGTCAAAAAGACAATAAAAGAAACAACAAAATTAGAGGAAAAAGACAAAGAAAACCTGAAGACACTTTTTAGCTCTCCCTCCTTTCACCGTTTCCCTTCCTTGCTCTCTACCTCTCGTCCTCTGTGTCTGAACATTTCCTCAGCGATAACAAACCTTAGCGGCCCTTCCTTCCCTCAAAATCCTGTCTCTAATCCCTTTGCCTCACTCCTCTCTTCTAGCTCGTGCACACTCACTGGTTCAGTTTCACCAGATGGCTTGCAAGCGCTACACCCCAAGGAGTGAATCTATCCGTCACAGCTCTTTCTTTCCCCTACTCTCAATGTCTCTCTCAGCACACTCGGCAACATCGAAACTGACGGGGTCCAAATTAATTTGGACAACAGTGATTGTGTCTGAACAAGTCCTCATTTCAGCTAAGGCCCCTCTAATGCAAGCGCTGAACTGCCCTGTCGAGTCCCTAACACACTCTTTGAGTGTTCCAGCCAATTTAGCCCTCGAGTGAGGGATGGATGTAGTTGTGCAGAGAGAGAGAGGGATGGAGAGGTGAAGGGAGGGAGTGAAGCAAGGTGATGGAGGGAGTAATGTGCTGTCGTGGGAAATCGAGGGGGCGTATAGGTGTATGTGACAGAGGGAGAGGGAGATAGACAGAAAGAGAGATAGCATGGAGAGAGCCAGAGAGACAGCCTGACAGCTGTCCCCTAGGGGAGTTGGGTCTTTTCTTTTGGCCTCTTTCTGATTCTTTTCTTTCTCGCCTACCCTGCCTCCCCCCTCTTTATTTTTCTGAATCACGTCCTATATGCTTTCTGTGGGCGTTAGCTCCAGGCATCTGCCTACATGCCTACCCCCTCCCTCTCTTTTTCTCTTTCTCTCTGACACTCTTCTTTGCACTTTTTCTCAGTTCCCTTGAGGCATGTGGCCCTTATTCTCCCTCCGCTCTCGTGGTGTCTGCGTCTCCCGACCTCTCTCTAACTCTCACCCACCTTAGGGCCTCTTTGCCTGGAGGATTTGCCCATCAGCTTCTCGTCGTCCAGCTCGCATTGCTCCAGCAGATCCAAGATGTCCTCCTCCTACACACCAACGCAGCAAAACACAAGACAGATAAGAATATGCCAGAGGTGATCATTTATGTTACATGAGGAACATAACAGTATCAAACATCGGCAACAAGGTAGTTAAATCTTGATGATACGCTTAAAAGGCGTAATTAAAATTCTTTGATGTTTCATATCTCTAATTACTGTGAAGTCAAAATGAGGTGTGAGAAAATAAAAAACTTCAATTATTTAAAAAAAAAGGTGGGAGGGATGAAAAAGTTTGACTTCACAGGCCTATGCACCTCATCTGGGGGGTTAGAAAAAAGGCCCTGGCTGAACATGCATTGCTTTTTGGCAACGCTCATAGAGGCTGTATTTGGAAAAGGCAGCATCACGGCCTTCGCCAATATGCTGGGGCCTTGGCCATTTGGCCGTAGCTAAAATGCAAGCAAAGGTGATTAATGTTGCTTCACGGCAGGGACATAAAAAGCTCCCACTTGACGCTCAAATACAGATGAAAAGTGATTGTTTTCTCTCAGATTAGCCATCAAACTGCTTTCTGGGGTCTGTGAAAAGGTCAGTGTGCCCCTGGCTTTCCATGCTGGTGTGTTTGTGCATGAACACTGTTGTGCATGTGCACATGTGTGTACAGTGGTATATTTCCATGTCTGAAAGTCCTGAAGTTCACATCCATAGGCTCAAACAGTTTTAGGGACTTGGGGAGCCTTTCTCTAAATGATATTTGTCTGCTCTGTATCTATTTAGTTTATATGTTCCTCACTGTAATTTGTGCTTATGTGACTGTGTGAGTGTTTGTCTGTGTGGTGGTGTGAAATGTGTCCGTCCGCTCAGACAATTGAGCCAGAGGTGAGACCAAGTCATTGTTTTGCAAGTTACAAGCAAGTCTTGAGTTCTTTCATTCAAGTCCCAAGTCAAGACCGGCAATGCCCTGAATCAACAGAGTGAATTTTGTGTGTTCTCCAACACATTCTCACTCTGGCCTCGTCACATATTGACCTTTGGTCATGGACTTTCCACGTCCACATACAACATGCAAGGTATCCTGGGTACGCTGGGTCCGGGACACAGTGTCAAGTTCTGCCTGTTACATGCATTGTCTTCTTACAAAATAAATGCACTACGTTGGTTCCACACCACAAATTGACTTTTTTTTTCCTTCAACAACCATCACACATGGTTAGGTTTCAGAAAAAAATAACAGGATTTGGCTTTAGAATCTTACGGGACGCGAACACTGCTCTCTCAGGTGAAAGCTGGTATTTGTTGGACCCATTCACCACCCCTCTCGCCCACCCCACTTGGACTATCGCCAACTTAACTTTTGTCCTTGTCCCGCCGCGTTTCCTCCTGATGCCGCCGGCCGCATATCATGCCGACGTTAAAGGACACCTTTTTTTGTTGGTTTCTGACGCCGCAAGTCACTGCCCAAGCGCCGGACTTTGACGACTTCAGAGTGAAACCAGGCTCATTTCTTTCCTGTGTTGTTGTTTTTCACGTATCTCATATTGGAAAGTTGAAAAAGAAAGAAGTAAAGTTGCAAGTCTTTTTTTATTTTGTCAAGCTAAGTCTAGAGTCATCAAATTTGTGACTCATGTACGACTCGAAACCAAGTCATATGACTTGGGTCCATGCCTCTGAGTTGAGCCAGTGTCAGATGTATTAAATTGTAAATTATCCATCAAGACCTCATATTTTAAGATGATCAATAAAAAGGTAGTGTTTAATCACTGACCAAGTCAGCTGGATGTATTATTTAAAAAACCCACTCTATCTATATGTATTTTAAATTATTTTGCTGCATTACTAGGTAATGTGGACCAAGTGTTGAATAGTATTATCTGCTGTCTACTACAGTATTTGTCCGTAGATTAAAGCTGCCAGTATGTCTTGAGGGAACCCTAGCAGGTATAAGAAATAAAAAGAACTTAAAAAATACCACATCATGCCCAGACATTAATTACAGGACAGGATGCTGTAACACATTGTTCCCTAAACTGATTTTATAAGTGGTCCTGAGGAGCTAGCAACCAAAATCTGAAATACTTATTTAACTTGATCATTAAAAGCGATAAGAAAACAATGCTCTGCCTTGCTTTGAAGAATTTATTTAGAAATTAGAGGCATTTTTTTCTCCAGTAAAGTCTGCCAACTCAATAACCTTTCACGAGGTGAAAGTTTCACCACCCACCATTTAAAAACCACTAGAGGCCCATTACCTTGTAAAATTGCACCAAAGCAGATTACATGGATGTTTTGACATGTTTTACAGCATGGAAGAAAACAGAACTTGACACACATAAAGAAATTACAGATTAATTGAAAGCTACTTACTTTCTCTAAAGTAAAAGTGTTTACAACACATTGAGTCTACGTCAAATGTTGCTGCTGCTGCTCAGGCTGTAGAGAGCTCCGATTTAACGATCACTGGCTGTACTGTCACTATTAAGCATTTCTAAACTTTATTAGGTCATGATTTGCAATGATCACTTTACAAATTAAACATTTTATACCCTCTGTGTATGTCAGCCCACATAATATGTAGTTGCTTGTTGCTGTACTTTGCTATCACCAACAGTCTCAGCACATGTCAGCTCATAAACTATATTGTCCAAACAAAGTACTTTTTTGGCAGCAGAGGACCAAGTGTGTAGCCCATCCAGCAGGCTTTTGTATTTTTATCCATTTTTGTTGAAAAAGCAGTAATTTATTTGCTGGCAGCTTCCACCATGACATTCTCTGACTTCATATTTCTTGGCTGTTTGACAGATGACGCTGTCTCGTCCATTTCTGTGGTTAGGAATTTACTTCCTCCATCTTAAAAACACATACCTCTTAGCCAAAAGAAAACTTCTCTAGGTAAAACTGGGCTCACTCCTTTAGACTAATAGAAAAAGAAAAACCCTCAGGACCCCTCTCATTTCTTCTTCAAAGCAAGGAGGATAGGCTTTGTGGAGAGAGGATAGACAGGGACACTTCTGCTGCCATTGTTCAGTGGAAAATATGTTCCAATTTTTATGACTCTTGCATAACAAACAGCTGCTGTAAAAATTGCCTTCCTACACTTATTACGTAGGTGGCATGCGTTACAAGAGCAGGAGACATTACTTTGCCCACAGATTATGCCCATCTGAAGTTCTAAACTGATGCTGGGTGTTTCGCCTGTAGTTGGCGCTGGTTCGACCGGAGCTGCCGATTCAAATGCATTGGATGATACCAATACTCCTTTTCCATCAACGCGGAACAGGTCCAGTTTCAGTTCCTGCACCTAATCTCAAACTGCTCTGAGCATTTCAACTAAAATAAAATTGGTTCAGAATCAGAAAAGTTGGTTCGCAGCTGTAACCAAAACAGGTTTTCCTTGACTTGGGGTGCAAACCATGATGACATCAGTGGGGAGGGGAGAGGGGATGGAGAAGACAACAATGGAGAATGAACATGTCTTGGTCTCATGAATAGTTAGTCCATGCTTGTTTTTTGGATAAAAACAAGTACAGTAGCAGGGATCCACCATCTTTCTACTAAGTTTTACTTTTTGTTTGCATTGTGCAACGCCCTTCTCTGCTGATGCGTCCTTGATTATAATGGTTCTGCTCAAACCTGGTGGAAACGCAGGCTGGTTCACTAGATAGCACCAAGGAGTCCTGAACAGAACCGGTTCAGGAACTAGTGCTAATTTGAAAAAGGAGTATGACCAGTTCTGGTTTCAGGGACTATGCATTAATGATGTTTTGTTGATTGACCTTTCTTTAAGCCCTGCCCCTTTGTGATGGTCCGACAAGCTGTCAGAGTAAGCATGGAGCCCACACTGTAACTAACTGCACTCCCTGAAGAAATATTATCATATTTTTGGAGAAACAAAACAGTCAGTACGTTTACATGGACAGTTTAATTCCACTTTTAATCGGAATGAAAGGCCATTCCGATTAAAAGTGGTCATGTAAACGGTCATTCTGATTGAAAATTAAATCCGATTAAAGGGGGTGGTTTATTCCGTTTGTCATTCCGAATGAAAGAATTTTGTGTGCACTCATTCCTCTTTAAGTTCATTCCAGTCTTTCTGCGCATGCTCGTTTCCTTGCCCTTCTGGCGCGATGATGTATATAGCGTGCATAGCAACGGGCTACATAGCAACGGGCTGAGATAGAGCAGTCGGACTCGTTGCACTCACCGGTTTCCATTCACCACAGCACGGTCTTCTGCCTCCCTTCTCCTCCTCAACAGATGAAGCATTAGCAGAACAAGGTTGTTGTCGTACTGCTGTTTCAAGAATATAAGCAAATCATGCCCGAAAAAGGCACTAAGAACGGCGGCGTCAAGCATCTTGTTATCCGGAGTGAGGACTACAGTGTTTTCTTCCGGTAAACGTAAACACGTAACATCCGCCCTGCCCCCTATCCAATCAGAAACCTTCCCTGCCCCAAACCTTGCGCAGACCTGAATAAAGGCGATTAAACTGATCTCCCGTGTAAACCCTCTTTCGGAATGAATATTTCCCATGTAAACTACCTGGAAAAATTTTAATTCCGAATGATTTCATTCAGATTTATTTCATTCTGAATGAGAAGCCATCATGTAACCATAGCCATTGATTCCAGAGAGAAGCAGACAGAGGTGTTTACATTTTGTGTTTGAAGGATATATCCAGGATGTCAAACTGACTTAGCAGCAACAACAGGTTAAAAAGACAAAGATAGTTAGAAGCTAAAGCCGAACTATAGGCTACAGATCACAGTGTAAAAGTCAACCACCATATCACTGCTGATCGCCACAGAAGACAATGAATATACAAGGAAACTTTGCTGATATTGAACCAGCTGTGTGGCATCGCAGTGTATGCAGATGAACTGTGCCGCTGCCAGCGCCTGGGCCTCCGCCACCAGACGGGCAGTCTTCAGTAGCTAGCTAGCTAACCCTACACTTTTAAGGGTTTGATTTTGGTTTTGGAACAGGGAGGAGATGTATATCTTTTTCCAACCTCTCCAGGTAACGAGTACCATTAATACACAACGTGCCCCAGGCACAACATTTAGCTCCAAATCCACAAAACCAGCCTGAAAATGAAGGAAATCTGAAACGACTGCATTAGAGTCAATGGAGTACAGCTGTGTTGTTGTGGGACCCTGGTCTGAGCCAGCCTGATGCTACATTATGATTGGCCAGTCCACATCCGGGGTGGTGGGACTTCAGTTCTGCCTGATGTCATCTGCCTGATGAATCAGTAGCTCATTGGTGTTATCTTCCTATTTTCCTCTTTACTGTCAATCACTGGAAATGAATGTTATGCTGTCCTCACACAGAGCACCCTATCAACCATGCTCTGTACTCCACAGTGTCTTCTTATAACAGGAAACAGAACTTATACTAGATTTACGATAACATAAAATCCAGCTGAAAATCAAATTAGAGCTATCTATCCTTTTTAAACCACACAATACCAGACCCTTAAAGATTCCTGATAGCCCTCTGCTTAATGTTCATCTCCAGAGCTTGCAGGCCACTCTGATAGGATCTGCAGTGACTGTGAAGTGCTCCAACACACTTGTGTACTTCTCGAATTTTATTATATTGGCAGAGCGCTACAGGCCGGCTGAGCTTGCACCTGCTCAACAACATTTTTATTTTTTGTCTTCAGTATCCATGTGAGAAAAATGGAAGAATGGGAATACATTGGCTGAGCAGGCAGGAAAACATAGATCGCTAACAACAGAACTAACAATTTGATGCATACCTGTCAACTTAACTGTAATGGAAGTGGGGAGAGGGCTGATGCAAACCCTGTAGAAACCAGTGTAACCTGTGGGTGTGTTTTCTGTAGCAAAGCAATGAAGCCAGGCTCTGCAGTGCATCAGCATGTTATCGCTAGGATTACAACACAAGTTTTATTTTCTTTGATAGTGTGACAATCCATGACATTTTTCAATTCATGGCCCTGAGAAGCCCACAAAGGCAGCAAACACGAGTCTTGTGAGTACAATGTCTGTCAGGCTTGACAGATATGTTGTTGGCATTTTGGCAAACGGCCTCTGGCCCCTTGCAAGAGGAAAAACTAGCCAAACAGTCAATGCATGTCAGATAATGACTTATGGATCCCACAAGGGTTATAGACCAAAGCACAGTGACTGGTGCACAAAATCAAAGGCTTTGGTTTATTATAAGATCATTAATTGTTATTTAGGTAGAGACCTTGAGATCAGTAGATTTAGCTACATAGTTTAAAGCTTGCTTGCAGTGTTTCAGAACCATAGATGTAGTGCTGCCAGAGCCCACCGGAATTATGCTCCGCCACTTTTTTCTCAAGTGAGGAAATAAATATTCGCAGTTCGCATAATCGGATTGAATTCACTGTATATATTCATATATCATAAATATGCACGGCCTTTCTGATGGTTTCTTCTGTGGGGCATTTTATTTCAACATTAATGCACAATTTTAATGTTTTAAATTAGGGCTGGGCGGTATGGCAAAAAATATTATCGCGATAATTTTCCCCGTTTTGATCTATATTTGTTTTTATCTTTATCACGATATATATTTTGATAAAGCTGTGAGTTTGAAAAGTATCCTGATAATGTCTGATGCCTGAAGAACGACGGCACTTGTCGTAAAGCTGAGGCAGAGTAGTTTGAGAAAAACATTTCCTGTCTGGTAGCTCGTACCTGCAGTCTACCACTTTAATTAATTTCTTGAACCTGTCTTTCTCCACAGTGCTATTGGCATCATGTCTTTGGATAGAAAGTACGGCGTCTGTTATGTCTCTGCTCCTTTTCCATCGCTTCTCATATGGGGTTACAGCGGCAAAAGAGGACACTATTGATTGCTGTCTTGGTGCAGCCTGGCTAGCACTGCCCACAGCAGCTGAGTTGCTAGGCCGTCGAACACTTGTTGGTTGACTTACTGCCGTTTTGGCCTGGATATTCATGCTCTCAGTGAGGTCGCTGGGACGCCACCTTTTAGGTGATGGAAAAGGTTTGTAGTGTTTCACATCCTGGTTGGCGCCAACCAACGACATATTTTGCAGACCGCCTTGGTCCGTGCCTCGCAACCTTTCAAGTAGCCAAACCACTTACGAATGATTGACGTTGTGCAACCTTTTTTATCCACAATTTCATCCCCTTCAGCTTCACCACCACTTCCACTAATTTTCCCTTCATCATCGTCATCGACATACATTTTATTACGATCCCATTTCCAGATTGTTTTATCGCCCAGCCCTACTTTAAATGGTACAGGTTGAAGGGGCTGACAGGATTGATTGACATTTCGCTGAATCATCACGGCTAAATAATAATGATAAAGGCCATATGACGTCACCGCAACCCTCTTGGAGGTGGTTTGGTGCAATGTTGGCCTGACTCCAGAGATGATTCATCTCTGAAGCGACTCGGAAAAACTTGGCGTGTTTAAACTTTAAAAGAAGACTCAAATCGAAGGGGCATAGTTTGACTCGGCGTGGCCAAAAGTGCCAATAGAAAAGCCTTATTATTCTTCCCTGGTCTGCTGAATATCATATTCAAATTCAGAAACATCCTTTCTTTACCATAAATTGCCAAGATGAGTATCTATCGCTCTGTCCCTTAAGGACAGTCCAGTTGTCACTCATGATCATGTTATTAGATAGCGAACTCTAGAGATCCTTTGTGCTCATTATCTCTCTCTTCCTACTTTGAACAAGAGTCACATACCTTTGTGTTGACAAAATTAAACTAACCTCGGCCTGGTGTATGACTCTGCCTGATCTTTGATTGACATCTCTGTAAAATTCTGCAGAGATTCCTCTTTACAAAGGACACACAATAACCTTCTGAAAAATAAACTGCGACGGGCTAGAGCCTGTTTAGGTAGGTTTCTTTCTACAAAAGCTGCAATCGTTGCATAGACGTCTCCTCCCAGTGCTTTGATATAAATTTGTAATATCAATACTACTGTCAAAAATATTCGGTATTCCCTATTACTATTCAGTTGCCAAAAGCAGTGAAGTTTTTATTTGTTTCATCTGCATCTTTCCAACTCATCAATCCTTCTTCCCTCCATGTGTTTTTAATATCCCACAATGCCTTCCTCTGTGTCTTTTTGTTTAATTGATGTGTTGTTTCTGAATAGATAACCAGACTTGAAAACAGAAAATTGTCTCTTTCTGTTTTTCTTTTTTTTTTTGTCCTTGCCTCAAATCATCCCGATTCCTAAAGTCTGTTCATGAAAGAAGTCTGTCACAGTACTTTAAAAAGAATTGTTCAAAAAACAAAACGACTATCTCTATTAGCGACTCACCATCTTTACATTTTCTGACTATTTTCCCTCATCTTTCTCTTGTCACCATTTAAACACTCTACATTCCTCTCTATTCCCGCTTCTCTCCCTGTCTCTCCAGCAAAGTTGTGTGGTATGGAAATCAACTTCTCTCCTTTGCAACGTCTCTTCATACCTTTACCTTCAAAGTTTAGCTGGCGCTATATTCCTCCTGTTACCACAGAGGCACTGGCATTTATATGCATACAATGACTTCTACCCTCGTACAAACATGAGCATGTCTTCGTGCATGGCCACACAAGTTTGTGTGTGTGCATGCATTCTCATGTTTATGTTCAAATGTATATCCCTGAGTCCTACTATATAAATAATTAACCTGTAGCAAAGTACACACAGAGACGTGGGCAGCAACTGTAATCAACTTTGAAGCCTCTTCACATCTAACTTTGGGAGAATGGAAAAAAAAATAAGAGAGGAAGATACAGAACAAGGACAACGGAAAGTGAAGAGAGTGTCTAACTGTAAAGGAACAAAAATGACATTGTTGTGTGGGATTTGATTTGCTTTTAAAAGCTCATGTACGCAGTACAATAAATATTTGTGGAGAGACAGAGTGAATGACAGTGGCAAAGTGAGGCAGATAGAGAAGAAGAAGGACATTCTGTCAGACATTCTAACAAATCTGAAGGACTGCGGCACACTTTCCGCATTATTTGCGCATCCTTTCTTGTCTCTGTGGGCAGAATCTTAATAGAAATGCTTGTGTGTTTCTTTTCTTTGGCATGTGCTTGTCCACAAGTGTCTGCATATTGTGTGTATATGTTTGTGTGTGGGTCTCTGCAGTTTTCTATGATGTGTGTGCATGTGTGTGTGTGTGTGCCTGACAGTCTGCCACTGACGTACGTGCCTTCATTCGTTTCAGAGGATTATTCATTTCCTTTTGAAGTGAGGCAGCTCGCCCGGCGAGGAAGGTCTGAAAGGCGGCCGAGAGCAGGCTTTCATACTTCTCCAACAGCAGCTTGTCGTCTGGGGGGTAAATACGTCTGTAGGCCGCAGAGACACAGAGAGGAAAGCAAGGGGAGTGAGGGAGGAGTGGAGAGGGAGGGAGAAAGAAAAGGCGAAGAAGAAGGGTCATCGGCGTAGGGGGAAAGGGGATGAGAAGGGTGAGGGAAGAAATGATGAAATAGAGGAAAAGAGAAAACAGAGGTTGGGTTCACAAAGGAGAGGGTGGGAGTGATGGGGAGGAGAGAAAGACAGAGAAGAGGGGGATTGGGGTTCAGTGAAAGGGGGAAACGAGGTGAGAGGAGGAGCGGTGACAGAATCAGGAGGGTGGGAGCCGTGACGGATAAAAGACAGAAAGAAAGGGTAAGAGGGTAAGGAAAGAGTGGGGAAAGAGGGTTGTTAAAGAGATACAGAGATGAAGAAAAGGAGCAAGAAAGAAAAGGAATACAAAGATTAACAGGGGGAGATTTTGATGAAAGGAGAGGGAGGAGTGGATGGAGTGAGGCACAGCGAGGTCGAGGCACAGCAGGTGAGAGCGGTGGATGGGCAGAAAAGAAAGCAAGCAGGAGGGGAAAATTATAAGTATTTCAATGAGAGGTGTGAAACGATGGTGAGACAAAAGGAAGGTGAGTGGCAGGTTCGAGGGAGCAGAGAGAAAAGACAGAGAGAAAGAAAGAAGTATTAATGGAGACCTTGAGTCAAGAAACTGTACAAACTTCAATCAGTCTTCTCACGTGGCGTAATGCATTAATGCACAACTGCTTCCCACACATACAGTACACACACGTACACCCCCGGTGAGATGTGCACTTTAACGTTTGTCGCAGTCTTTGCCAGTTTACCCACTCACACCTTCTGCAGAGTTCTGCTTAGTTTTAACAGTGCGCAGTGTTTATCTTAGGCCTGAAGGGATTAGGAAAATGTATAAACCTTCGCCTGGATATCCTCATAATACATCTCCAAACTCCCCTCGACTCATCACTTCAGCCATCAAATCAAAACAATGACAGTGTTTTAATAAGCACTGGCCAGTTTGGAGCGTGAAAGCAAGGAAATAGTTTGGCGTATTTACAGACATATTTAGAGACAGACTCTTCCCGAGTTGGCCTTTTGAATTTGACAGGACGTTAAAGCTAAAGGGAGTTAAAGTACAGACCTCCTCTTTAAAACCACACAGATAAATTGTTGGATGTGATGTTTATGCAGCTGCATTATATCTCCTACCATCTTCTAAATATTGATTACTAAGCCATCACTATTAAAGTCCGGGTAAAGAAAAAATAAATGTGTTTCAAAATCTGAGCTCTGAGACGTTTGGCGTTTAACAGAGATTTTTACTCATGTATTTATTACACTGAAAGAGTGAAGAGAGCTTGTTGGACAAAGCAAAATGGCCACATGTTGGGGGATGATTAACAACACTGAGGCCATCTGATTTAAAAAAAAATTTTATATGATAGGCAGTGTTGGGCTTGTTACTCTAAAGATGCAATACATTACTCATTACTCTTTTTAAAAGTAATAATATTACTTAACTTATTACACCCTGCCCACAGTAATTGTTACATTACTTGTTTTGTTACTTTTCTGTTACACTCCATAAAACTGGTTATTGCGTACTCGTACTTGTACTCGTCGTTCTCCGTAATTGCGTATCTCCCCAAAATTCAGATGTGTGCCTCTGTGTGAATATCAAGCTAATCGCTGGTAAGTGTAGCTAATGCTGGGTAGCGTCTATTTACCTGGGGGTCTTAAGTTGCCTGTGACCGGTATTTTCCCGAGGCTCTGCCTACAAGCCTGTCACTCGTGGAGCAACATTTAATCCAGAACATATCCAGGCACAAGCTTCATTATGTCTTTGTAGCTGCAGCATCCACGACTAAAATCCAGTTTTGATTGTTTAGCCAGTGTAGGGCTACAGCCGACATCTGCGGCAGAGGAAGGCTCGCCTTTGGTGGGGTGTATTTCCTGGAGCTTAGCATTGTTGTGCTTTCAGACTGGAGGTTTGTGGACGTGTTTTTCGCAGTGGAAAGAGTTTTGGTACGACTACCTGCAGCAGCAGTACTCTTGTCATCTTTCCTCCCGACAAAATAACAGTAATGGGAATATTTCCGGCCACTAAGCGTTTCCATCTTCCTAATTAGCTTGCTGCTTTGTGGCATGTCTACGCAGTGCGACATTTACAAAAACAAATCCACTGATGTGATGTTGTATTTCAAGTCAGTAGTGACGTGATAACAAAAATAACATGGATATGAGTTGTTAGGTTTTGGGGTAACTGAAATATTATAAGTGAAATTCTATTAGTAATTAGTTACATTATTCAATAAAAGTAATATCGTACTTTAACGCCTTACTAGTAATGCGCAACTAATAGCCCAACACTGATGATAGGGGAGGGGTTAGGTTAAGGATGGCCCCAGTGCATCACTGGGCCATGATTTCAGGCCCGCCCAAAAAATCCTGGACACAATAACAGTAAAAACAGTTTAACAGTTTAACTCTACAATACAGAAGTAAATAATTTACAGTCTTTTCACATGTCTGTAACAAGTATTTTCTAACATGTATAATGTGTTTAAAAAGAAATCACTGATTCTGCCTTACCCAGACTTTCAGCTTCACATTTATAACCATTTAAATTGAAGGTTTAAGTTAAAGTACAGTGCTAAGTAAAGTTTAACACTGCACAAATTCACCATTAAAACTTTTACTGCACCCCATCTGCCGTTTAACAACTTTATGCAGAGATGCTGCTCTGGGTACATGATTTCCATATTGTTGAGAAGTCGACCCAATTCTATGCATTATTTTAGTTACTGCAGTTCAAATCAAGCAACTGCTGAATATTGAGAGACCTGAGATTACCCAGTCACTGTATCAACTTCCCTTGGCACCATCTTATACGAGATTCTGTGTCATACTTTTTAACCATCTTTAGATACTTGGACCAGATTCTTTCCTTCCTCTGGAGAGACACTGAGAAACGTGGAAAAAATCTCTCCATCACTGGGAGATAAACTGAATTTAAATGATAATATATGAAAAGAGCCAGAACTTGTCAGTCATCAAAGAGCAACATAAATCACTCGACTGAAGGCAAAAGGTCAACGCTTTAATAGTGGGTGTTAACTGCTCCCTCTTTTTGGCACCCTCCAGCCCTGAACATATGGACATTTTTATTTGAGGGTGACCCGGCAGTATTTTTTAAATAAAATGTTCATGCTGGGGCTTATTTTCCTCCCACATGTTCCCAATTGGGCTATAGACAAAACTAATATTCATATTCCATTTACATCACTTTTAAACTATCTTTGCTTTGGTCAACAGCGTCTCTCAAGCCTCCTGATTCCAACTGTGTAAATGATGTTAAATGAACATCAACAATGACATCAACCAGCTGGGTTTCCCTCTGATGCCACAGGGTTCTGGCTCGTCTGTAACTGATGCAAGTTTCATCTAATAGCCGAATGTAAGTAAGTTCATTAGCCGAACTCATCTAATGAGAAGCAGTGTGTTAATCAGACTCCAGTGCTGCGCCGGGACACCATTTGAATGCTAAGAGGTCTTTATTAGGGGTGCTCTAGACAGACCTCAGCCTGTCTGATTGACTGTCTGGCTGCGTGTCTGAAAAGAGGAAGGAGGTGACAGCACTTCATGCAGGCTGGGATCAGTATTCTGACTAGCCATTCAGTCAAGTGATGAGTCAAGAAGTCACTTACACTTGGGGGAGACGGCAAGAAGGGCGAGTGTGTGTGCGTGAGCCAATTGTGTAGGCGTGTGTGTCTGTCTGTGTGTACAAGAAATTGAGAGAGAAAATCAAGACCCGGATATGTGTATGTGTGTACATATCAGATGAGGAGATCGAGGCAGGAAGAGAAACTGAGGGAGTGAAGGAGCGTTAACAATTTGCAAGGGCTAAGCGGCAAATCAGAACATGGTGTTGCTGAGTCATGCTCTGAGGTTGATCTGCTCCGTCTGTGAGGTGACTATTAAAAATTGACACACTCAATGTCTTCCAAAGTCCCAGCTGGAGCTAGAGGAGAAAAGAGTAGAGGTGTGTGTGTGTGTGTGTGTGTGTGTGTGTGTGGGGGGGGGGGGGGGGGGCTTGTAATTGATAGACAACATATACATGCTAATTTGGATTTCTCAAATGCTGAAAATACTGCGCACAGAGGAGTGACAATCTGAACCTCGACATTACACACTACCTCTGATTTCCTTTCTATTTTACATATTCTCTCAGTTTTAATTCTTCCACCTCACGCTTTCAAAACATCAGGTGTTCTCTTTTGATTGTTCTCTCTGCGGCAGCATTATTTATTCTCCTGAGAGCTTAGCGCTCTGCAGATGACCCCATAAATGTTAGTGGAGCTGGCACTGGTATGGTGCGTGGAGTTTCTGAAGGGAGAGCCCCCTCTCTCCTACCTGTAGTTCCCCAGATGTTGCTTTTCATGCTCCTCCCTGGAGATCTGCTTGCGGACCTGTGCCAGTCGCTCTTTCTAGAAATGGGAGAAAACCAAAGGAAAATGGACTAAATCTCTCAGGTGAATGTCACTGCCACCCCCTGCTTATCTTCTATTAGGAGCAGAGAGAGAATAAAGTCTTAAAACCAAGAAAGCAAGAGGGGAGAAAAATAAGAAACAAGTCATCTCACCCAACAATGCCTCATAATTAAGAGGCATTTTCCTTCTACTCTTTTATTATAGTTACGAAGGTATAATTGTGGAGCTCAGTTGGCCAATTTAGCATAAAGCAGAGAGGAGGGGTTCACTCCACTACTGGCACTGCAGAATCATTGAGCTCTGATGTGTGCCTTCAATAGACCTGAACCTGGTCTCGCACTTGAGCCCTAACAGCACTTAAACTCGAGGTAGTGCCCTTTTTAAAATAGTGCCTCTGTGCCATCTTTCCTTATTCCCACTGATTACTGCCACGGCTGATCAAAAGGCTAATCAAAGAGGGCGGAAGGCGTAAAGTACTAGTAGCTGCCACTTTTCCCCATATGTATGAGAAGCACTCCCCCGACTCCTTCATTTCAAAGAGAAAATAATTAAATGGTATGCTTGTCTCAGAAAACTCTGACGTAGAGTAAGAAGTAAGTGAAACTGAGTTTCTGCTATGGCATTTCTGCTTGTTTCATTCCAGAGGAATGTGCATAACACAAACACACACGTGTTCTTTGGTCGTTTAAGTGACTTGTAAATAACATGAGAACTTGTGTTTGCTGAATGTCTCTGATGATATCTCCGAGCACATCTCTGATAAAGTGAAGCCACCTTTTGTGCTCATTTTGGTGTGACCTAAAAACCTTAAAAGGCATCTCAGGACTTATAATCGTATGACTGAACAGCCATTGTTATAGTCCCATGGCTGCTTTTGAAAGCCTGGGTGGGGAAATTAAATCTGTTGACCGAAGTCAAAGCGCACCACCTTGTCCAGGTGCTTAGCATCCCAGATGCTCCACTGCAGTTGGTCAGTCGCCAACTAGACAGATCCCAGGTGGGAATATGTGTAACTGTATCAATGTGAAGTACAGTGTTGCTCAGAAAATCCATATCACGCCACAAAAACAGTTTCTCCCAGACTGCAGCTGTCCTCATCAACAAGACCCAGGCCCCCAGTGACACTGACTCTTATCCTGACACACTCCTGACATTATGTGTTACATTACCGGACATCCTGCTGTCATTACTATCACCCCTCTTGCACATATTTTAGTACCTGTTTTATACAGTGAGATTTACATCCCCTGGATGATCATTTGCATATTCCTGCATGGCTGTAACCCTAAAAATCTTACACTTTCTAACTATCTACTAGCACCAAATCACCAATAAAAACATTTCTGATTCTGAATCTATCAAGTTTAAACCACATGATAATTTGTTTGCGCCTTACCAGCTCTTCTCTCCTACGCTCCAGTGTGTGACGTTGTTTCTCCCAGTCTGAGGAAGCAGCCGAGAGTTTCTTCATCGAGCCATGTCCGTAGAGTCGTCGCTGAGCCTCGGCCTTTTGCTGGGCCAGGTTGCGTTTTTTATCGCTGGCTCTGGATCGACATGAAACAGGTACTGAGTCAAAAGAATGCACATTTACAGAGCTATGAAAAGAGTACAGCATCATTCAAGTACATTTCCTAAAGAATACAAGTGTTACGGTGCATTTTTGGTGTTTTCACACTGAGGCTCAGACAGCTGTTTCTGTTTTCCCATAATGCTTTGCATCTCCAATTATTTTTCTGTCAAGGTTTAGCCACTGTTGAGAAATACAGGCACTGTGTCTGAATTCCTGTTGACTTAAAGTGTTTAAGTGTTCTTTTTATCTTTTTTTTCTATAACCACATACTGTAATAGTTCTTTCAGAGTACAGAAGACTTATTTAATTGTCGCATACTTCTCAGTGAAGAACAAATGTTATCTGCAGAAAAAAGGCTTTCAGGAATCCTGTAAACAATGATGAAGTTTGACAGCATGCAGGTCTCATCCCGAACTGATGCACTGACCGGAATTTGCCTTTTCACATTATTTTGGTAGTTAAAAGGAAAAAAAGAAAATCCCTCACAAAACATTTAACAATACAGAGATAAAGACAGAGCCGAGACACAAACAAAGTGACAACCACAGGATGAACAGAAACCAGACAGCTAATTCTGAACAAGTGGGCCATTGCGGTCTGGAGAAAGGGCAATTCATTTTAGTCAATCGCTGGCCCTTTAAATTGGATATTGAGTGCTGTTGGGGGGCTGAGGTTTATCAATGTCCATGCCCAGCCGGGTCTGAATTGATCCCACGTTGATACAGTTGGTGTTGTGAGCCGAGTTGAGAGCCGACCCTACCTCTGCACCCCACCAACCCCTCCCTTTTGGGAAGCGAAGCCATTACTATATAAGGAAAAAGTGAGCGAGGTAGAACAAAGCCCTCATTCACTCCAGCATGAACATAAGCAGTTTGTCCAGTGGAAAGAGCTCCCCGCCGCCTTTCAAGGCCTCCTACGATTTATTTGTCATGAAATAATCAAATCTCCCCTTTTAATCTGTGGGAACACAGCAAACATCAGCCATGAAACAAATCATTTTGATAAGAGATTTGTTTGTGTCGACTGAGGCTGAGCGGGAGGATGGAGTGAGTTTTTATGTGGGATGGCTGCACCGCGCACCACACTTGGCCTAACTAGATCTATGGTGCTGCATGTAATTGATCCATTGATGTGTGTGTGTCTGTGTGTCTGTGTCTGTGTGTGTGTGTGTCTGTGTGTGTGTGTGTGTGCGCGCGCGTGCTGCATTCGTGCATGTGTGTGACTAGTAGAGTTGAGACTATATTTAGAGCAGTATGAGGGGGACAAGCACAAAGAGAGAAAGCAAAAAAGAGAGCAGAGATCCAGAGGTCTGGTGTACGATGATCAATCAGTGGACAGGCTCACTGTAGCCAGGGGACAGAAAAGCATGCCAGCAAACACACATACACACACAAACACACACTACATAAATACATTACACAACAAGAATGACAGTGTGTATAGCCTAAACAGGGAAACAAACACACCCACAAAGCAAAATAAAAAATTATCACAGGAAGCATATGTAAATATACAGAGCAGGGTAAACAATGTAGACCCCGAAATACAGATAGCACAACTTACTGTTATCCTGTTCCTATCACACACACACACACATACACACAGTGTGTCTGATTGAAGGGTGCACAAAAGCGCACAGCAGAAGCACAGCTTTGTACCTCGGCCATTATCTGTCTTTGTATCCACCACAGCAGCACAAACACACAAATGTATAAGTACAGCGTTGTTTTTTTTGTTTTGTTTTTTTGGTCCACAGCTCAAACCCCGTTAGTTTCAGACTAATGCCACTACTGTGTCATCAGTCTGAAAACAAAACAAGATTAAGTCCGAATTGTGCCATACATAAAAGTAATTCTGAAATTTTCAGGGCTTGCTAAATGGAGAAGACCGAAAGAATCGAAATCTTTAAACATTCAGAGCCCCTGTAAGATCAAATTTGACGCAAGCTTTGCCTGCCTCTGTACCTGAAACTTAATGGGCCCCTCGATGCAATTCATGTGTGTTTATCTGCAAGCATGTGTGCGTGCGTGTGTATGACCTCGGTGGAGAACAGTACCGAATGTTGAGGAGTTTCAGAGAATTGAGCAGCACCCCTTTCTTCACGTCGTAATCAATCTTCTGATCGGTCCCAAAGCTCGGAGCTCGATTGATCTGCCAGAGAGGAGAGGAGAGAAACATTCAAAGAATATTCTGGCTTTTTTTTCCCCGTCTTCATCTCATTTTTTTCTTTCTTTTCAATTCAGCAGACAGAAATGCTATGCAATTACAGGAGTGGATTTAGGGCATCATTGGAAAAAAGAGATCTGTTCCCACAAGAAGGAGAGGAAAGAGGAGAGACGAGGGGAGAACGAGATGGAAGAGGAGGGTTTTTTTCCTCTTTGAAGGACACTTTGGAACTCTTAGCCTTTGCCTGGGCATAAATCCTGTCTGACACTGATGTGTGTACACTTGTGCATGGAGAAGAGCCCACTGTGTATGAGTGCACGAATATGAACAGATTGTGTAGGTTAAACTGTCACTAGATTAGTGACCCTGCCCTTTTCAGCCAACCAAAGCGAGCAGTCCATGACTCTGTGACTTAAGTATGCCAAGCACTGCAAAACCTACTCGTACCACTGCTGCCAATAATCTCTTTGCGAGCATCGGCGAATTACCAGCGCTCGGCTCGATCCCATCATACACAATCAAGAGCGCTCAGCAAGAGTCAACTGAGCGAGAACAGAAAAAGCCACCTGTGATTTGAGGTACAAAAGCCAGTATCACCCAGGGAAAAATTCAAGAGCAGCTTACCTTTCTTAACAGAACAATTTCCAGCACTGGTGCAAGGTATTCAGATATCAGTTATTATACCTGACACAACAAATCAATTCTTGCCTTTTACTCTTTGTTATTTTCCCTCTGTCTCACTGCCAAGGTGAAAAAGAGATTGTGTGAGACAACAAAAGGACCAGCGAATGGAGAGAAGTGCAGAGGGAGGGTGAATGGACTGGCAACCGTGATTGGAATGGTGTCTCCCTATGAGGTGACTTCAAATGACAATGCAACAGATGCTCAGCGAAAGGCTGGCCTGGGTTAATAAACCTTGATGGTTGAGATAAGTCAGGTCTCTTCCGAAAGTCATTCACCAAACCACCTATTTTCTTTTTCATGTGGGAACGCCAGTATGGTTGGCACCTTTTGATGTCACGAGATTTGTAATAGCTACTATAAAGGTACCTTGAAGAAGATTTATGAAATTATATACGGTGTACAAGACAGAGATTATTATCAGGCTGAAACTTTTAACTTAGCCATAATGACTGAAACATGCCGTCCCTCACTGTGTGTAGTTGAGTACTGCCGTGCTGTAACCCGACATGGCTTTATCCGTCGGTGAGAATCTATGTTAATTTTCAATTAAATAAAAATCACTGCTAACAGTGCTGGAGGTGCAGCTGGAAATTCTTCCCTCCCAGTCGCCTTAATCTGCAGTCAGAGTGAGTATTTGTGTCAGAGACGTTATTCGTCCTGTTTCTATCTTCCTTTAGAAGCAGTTGGATACAGTTGGACTCATCAAAGCAGCACGACAGCCAATCGCAAATTGGGATTTCGGCAACACGGAAACACTAAGCCAATCGGAGGTTTAAGAGCGCATTATAGATTCATTCTGTCAACCAATCACGGATTTAGGGTAAGGAATAGTGAAAGAGGCCAATGAGAAAGCAGATTGGCGTGTAACATCAGGTCATTTGAAGCCGTTAAGATTTTTGGGCTAAAAATCAGCAACAAAACCCGAAAGCTCCTTTACAGAGATGTGCAAAGTGTCTCAAGGGCTGCGGGGGTAGCACTCAAAAACTCCAACCCTCTTTCTCCTCTCTTCTGCTGAACTAGCCATTACTAATCCTGACACAAAGGTGCTTACTGCTGTGTGGCAGATTTGGTGACACTGCTGTAAGATAATATTTACATCACAACCAGGCTCCGAGGAACTGAGAGAGCCAGAGCGTCGACTGTGTTGCCAGCCGTGGGGCAGGTAGCCCAAGAAAGAGCAGTAACTACTGAAAGCTTGTCCATTTGGATCAGGAAGCAGCTGTAAAAAAAATCTGGGCAGGCTTAAGTGAATCAGTAAAGCTGCTCCCTACATCAGCAGCTACTCCTAAATTGTCCTTCAGTCAGACGCCTAAACCCCAGATTCCCACGACATGAATACGGTTGCGCAAGGAGGCTCTCATGTTGAAATGCATGTAGCTGTGTGAAGCTGAGCGTAAGCGAACAAGAGCACGCAAGGATATGAAAACTTATCCCGAGCTGTCGCTGTCTCTGTAAACCTGAAGCAACTTAATAACCTACTCTGAGCCTGCTGGGGCATCGCTGCCCGAGTCTCTTCCACGAGTTCAGAGGATACATCCACAAATATCACCAGTGAGCTACTAAATCTGCACCAACATGACATGGGTTTGTATGGGCGTGCCGACGTAAGTGTGTGCACGCACCCACACGTGTGTTTTTCTACACAGCAACCATTTATCAGAAGGAGGGGGGGGTGGGTGATGAATGTCTTCCAGTGCAAAGAAGAAAAAAGGAACAGGGACCCTATCCAACTCTTTCACTCAATAGAATGAAGTCTACAATACATCCCTCTGTGTGCTGAGAAGGACAGAGCTCCACTTCAACCTACAGTACCTTACCTAAAGAAAAAAAAAAAACACCACAAAAGAAAAAGAGGGGAGAGGTCTGTTTTCATTTAGAGCACTCCCCGATATGACAGCCACAATGAAAAGAGTATGGCTTTAGAGCGCTGTAGCCTATAGGTAACAGCCAGACTGGCAGTGATCCTGGCGACGGTTGTCTCGTTACTTGTCTTCATTTCTTAGTTTGATTTGTGGTGTCAAGCTGTCACAGAGTAGACTGGCATCACGGCACTTGCTGTCTCTCTTTGCTCTCCCTCAATCTTTGGTCTCTTTCCTTCTACTCTCCGCCTGTCACCCTCTTCTTCTGGTTAGTTTCTCTTCCCACTCTGTTTCTTCCTGTCTCTCACCCCGGTTTCTGTCTGGTCACTCACCCCCCCCCCCAGACTTGCTAGCCCTCGCTCTCTGGTCGTTAACTCTCTTACTCATTTCTTTCACCGTGTTTCTGTGTTCTCCTTTTCCTCTCTGGCAGAGGAAGTTGGACCAGTCTGGTCCTAATGAACCCCTGCAGGCTCCCAAAACCCCCACTCTGATTTCCTTAAGTGACTCTGGCAGGGTCTTAAAGGAGCCCTCGGTTGCTCCAAGACGCATTCAATAAAAATGTCAGATGAAAAGATTAGAAACTCCTTTTTACTTATGCTTTGATTCGGTTCAGCATCAGAATTGCATCAGTGTAGACCAAATATAACGCGGTCAAACATCAGAATGAGTGTGTAGGAAAAGAACGTATCGGTCTGTAATTTTTCACAAGACAGGTTTATCATCGTCTGATCACTCAATTAAACATACAAAGATCCGAGGGTGAGCTGTAAATCATTAGCGTACCCCACACAGGACATGTAGCTCTTTCATTTTCTGCACCTGGAGGTGTGTGACCGAAACACACAGGTAACCTGCCAGTGTTTATGAAGGCAAATAAAGCCTGTGCTCCGGGGGCAGCTTATTAAATTTTCTTCAACTATCCATTTGGTTTGAATTGTCTGTGAACTGCAAGAATGTCTACTGATCTTTATTGCAGGCCCTGAAGTACAAACAGCGAGGCAGAAGTGCAACCAGCACATTTTACATGCCTTATTTGATTTGATATAGTTTATTAATTTCCAAGTGGGGAATTCTCTTTACCCTCTGGTTTGGATGCAGGGTCAGTCTTATAATGTTTGGCCCCCATGGGGGTGTACTGCTCGAAGATAGTTAATAAGTAAGTAATGGCCATACAGCAAAATCAAACCCCAACAATAACACTATTATTACTGTAGCCACAGGCCATCGCACACCTAGAGAGAATTAACTCAATCTCAGTTCGCACTATGGCACTGCAATGAGTCAGATTCCAACTCCATCTGACAATTTATTGTTATCGTTTCAATTATGAATAAACCCAGTAAAAAAAAAATGTTTACAATAATCATATGACTCATTCACTGTTGAAAATGTAGTGGGCATCAAACAGTTTGCGTCTGTGGCCTCTGCTGTGTCACACCGACCCTAATAACATAGCAACAGCAATGGATCAACAACAATCAGCTGCTTTCTTTCCACAACAAATTGCTTCCCCCCATCGACATCCATTCTGCGTCTGGAATACTCGTCAAACAAGTGCAAGGGCTGCTCGTGATTAATCGGTTCAGAAAAACGACCCCCTCTTATTATTCCTGGCAGAGTGTAAACAACCACTGCTTTGACAAGCCTCCCATTCTGCCCCGCACACTCGAGGGTATCGGCACAGTTCAACCGCTGTCAGAATGGAGTGTTTGTTGCCTCACAATGGTGGAATGAGAAAGGGAGGCAGAGAGGGAGAGCATGAGTAGCAGAGCGACAGAAAGACAGACAGCTGGCCGCCATGTTAAGTCGCTCTCTTGTTTCAGCCGTCTTATCAATCACTGTTTTGTTCTTTTTGTGGCATTTTTAGTGGTCCAGTCAGACAGAGGGAAACTCTAGCTGAGCATGCTGAGCTGCTGGTAAAGGTCCTGGGAGTGAGCAGGCCAGCGCTTAGCTTAGCCACCAGTTGGCCTGACCTGCGTGACTGGCCGGCTGGCAGGGTGCAGGGAGTGTTGACTTTATTTTTTTTTTTTTTTTTTTTTGCTGGGTATTCTTTTTGAAGACACGTAGAGATACAATCAGACACAGCCACAAAAAGCAAAAGGTGCTTCCAGGGTGCACGAGAAGGTAAAAGTGGACATAGTTATGCAGCCGCACACACAAACACACACACCTAATTCCCTCCTAAGTACTTACAAACATGCGAGAATATATCAGCAAAACCCACCTGAGGTCCAAAACTGTCAGTCATAAATATGCAGGGGTATATATCTTCCTTTACAGTCTCGTACACACTCTACCACACACACTACAGTTCCAGATGTCACTCATAAACATGCAGTATATATCTTCCCTCTCAATCACATGCACACACACACACACACACACACACAGAGTCAGTGGAGCTGCCATACATGCCTGATGATAAATGACTAAATGTTGGGG